CGCGAAAAATGAAAATTGAGCATGAACAAATTTTAGACTTTTTCCAAAAAAACCAAAAGAAGTCCTATATAAGAGTACTCACTAGGTTCATATTGCTCTTAACACCTGACAGTTGGAAAAAGTAATGAACGCAAGGAAGCTGAAAAAAACTAACTTGTTTTGAAAAAATTTCAACTTTTGATCTTCAAAGAAAAATAGGTGGCTTTAAAGCTCTTTCATTTAGAACAATTTATGAGTGACATTAATTTGATAAAAAAAGAAACCATATTGAGAAAACTTGATCAATAGAAAAGATTGTATTTAGCTGGAAAATTCGATATTTAATTTCCACTTTCGAAAATAGAAGTCAATCATTTTCACGGACCTTTACACTTTCGCAGTTAGATAGTGGAGGATGGCTTCCTTTTAACAAAAGATGTGAAGTGAACTGAAAAAAACCACAAGTCAAACCGCGAAAAATGAAAATTGAGCATGAGCAGGAACAAATTTCAGACTTTTTCTAAATAACCGAAAAAATCCTATATAAGAGTACTCACTACGTTTATTGCTCTTAACACCTGACAGTTGGAAAGAGCAATGAACGCAAGGAAACTGAAAAAAAAACTGAATTGTTTTGAAAAACTTTCAACTTTTGATCTTCGAAGAAAAAATAGATGGCTTTAAAGCTATTTGATTTGGAACAATTTATGAGTGGCATTATTTTGATAAAAAAGAAACCATTTTGAGAAAACTAAATCAATAGATAAAAATTGTATTTAGCTGGAAAATTCGATAATTAATTTCCACTTTCGAAACTAGAAGTCAATCACTTTATTCACGGACCTTTACACTTTCGCTGTTAGATAGTGGAGGATGGGTTCCTTTTAACAGAAGATATGAAGTGAACTGAAAAAAAATCACAAGTCAAACCGCGAAAAATGAAAATTGAGCATGAGCAGGAACAAATTTTAGACTTTTTCTAAAAAACTGAAAAAATCCTATATAAGAGTACTCACTACGTTTATTGCTCTTAACACCTGACAGTTGGAAAGAGCAATGAACGCAAGGAAACTGAAAAAAAAACTGACTTATTTTGAAAAACTTTCAACTTTTGATCTTCGAAGAAAAAATAGATGGCTTTAAAGCTCTTTGATTTGGAACAATTTATGAGTGACATTATTTTGTTTAAAAAAAGAAACCATATTGAGAAAACTAGATCAATAGATAAAAATTGTATTTAGCTGGAAAATTCGATAATTAATTTCCACTTTCGAAACTAGAAGTCAATCACTTTTTTCACGGACCTTTACACTTTCGCTGTTAGATAGTGGAGATTGGCGTCCTTTTAACAAAAGAAATGAAGTGAACTGAAAAAGAAACCGCAAGTCAAACCGCGAAAAATGAAAATTGAGCATGAACAAACTTTAAACTTTTTCCAAAAAACCGAAAAGAGTCCTTTATAAGAGTACTCACTACGTTCATTGCTCTTAACACCTGACAGTTGGAAAAGAGTAATGAAGTCAAGGATACTGAAAAAAAAACAGGCTTGTTTTTTTGAAAACCTTTAACTTCTGAATTTGGAAGAAAAAAAAGATGGCCTTCAAGCTTTTTGAATTTATGAAACAGTTTATGATTGACTCTTTTTGATAAAATTAACCAAATTTGAGAAAACTGGATCAAAAATTATAACATTTATTTCTCTGGAAAATTTGACGATTAATTACCAGTTTCAAAATTAAAAGCCGATCACGTTTTTCGTGACCTTTACATTTTTGCTGTTCGATAGTGGATTTTGCCTTCTTTTCAACAAAAAAATGAAGTGAACTAAAAAAAGAAACAAAGTTAAAACTCAAAGTTAAAAATGAGCGTGAAAAAATGATCAAAACCTATAAAATTAAATGCAGAAATAGTTTTTTAATTTCAAAAATTCTTTCTTTTCTAACAAAAAGTCTTGGCGTGCTCTCAAAAATCAGGATAACATGAGCTAAATTTGCATTTTGAAAACTTATAAAATACTAATGAAGCTACCAAAAAAAAACAGAAACAAAACACCTGGCCAGTAAGCCGACAAAAATTAGGCAGAAATCAATACGCCAGCAAAAAAAAACAATTTATTGAACAAAATTGTGCGACTGAGATGAAGAAAAAGATCTCGTGGTACATCATAAATGTTATGATTAAAAAAAATTAAAACAGATACAAAAAAGGTTAAAAAAAACTTACTGACAGACAGTTGGAAAAAATGTTATCACAGAGGCGTAGTTGAGTTTCGACCATTTGTAACAAATAAAAAAGCCAAGAACCGAAAGATAATGTGTATCAAACAAAAAAAACTTAAATGAATTGTTAAAAATTCGTATGCTTAAAAAATTTAAAATTTTTCCAATTTAAAAAAAAATCAATTAACCAAAATAAGAGCGATTCGGGCTACACGGATTCCATTCATTTCTTTTCCATAACCAGTAAATTTACACGCTCAGAAGAAAAAATTGGTCAAAAAACCGAATTCTAAAAACTCCCACTTGTACTCAAAAAAATTTTCTTAAATTTTTGCATCCAAACAAGCTGCATATCTAACAAGAACAATACCAGGATAATTTGCGATAAAAGACGATATAAATGAAAGAAAAAACTGGAAAAAACTGAATGCTTACGTCAGAAAAAAATTTGCACTAAAAATCATTTTGTTAAAACTCAGCAGGACTGAAAGCCCACTCCTGAATTTCGTGGGACACTCGCCAAAATTCAGTATAGAAAAACCAGCTAGGTCAAAATTGCAAAAAAAAACTTAAACTTTCGGAAATATGCATTTTTTCGAAAAATTTTGACATATGAACACAATACATATGTTATTACCTAATACGTTTGTCATCAAATTCAATCATAGTAAGGATCTTTCACTTTAATGGACCTTAAACGAAACCGAGACAGATATTTGTTGTTATATTTCCAAATCCTGAGCCGACAACTTTTTTGCAACAAAATGATGAAAAAACAGGTCCTGGTCAGATTCGAACCCAAGACTTTGTCGTCCCAGACGTACTCGTTACCTCCAGACCAAGTATGCCAAAGACGCATAGAAATTTGAATTTAAAAGGAAACAAGATATTAAGTGATTCTGTTAAACAAGTTTTTAACCCAAAAAAGTCTAAATTCCTATTTGATAACGCGTGCTAATAGGCAAGGGTAAACAAAATTCTCATTTTAATGCACAAACTTCAATGTTAGTAGGACCATTTCATTTCAATGGACCTTATACGAAACCGAGATAAATATTTGTAATATTTCCACTGAGAATTCAAAACATAACCAACAGTCGCTGGGAAATGCAACAAACCGAAAAAAAACTTGAATGACTTAGTAGGAAAATATGTCTTTCACGCTCGGTAACAAAAATTGAAAACACTCGATCAATTGTTAACATTTTCTTATTCCACCGGTAAATCTTGCTATTCAAATCCATTGTGAAAAGTCATTCAAGTGTTTCGCGCCATTTGCACTTTAAATAAAAAAAAGCGTCATTCGCCTTTTTAGAAAGTTTCTAATTTCGAATTTCAATGAACAAATATATGCCCTTAAGGCTATTTGAGCTGCTTAAGGCTCTTCGAGGCCCTTAGGGCACTTTTTGATAATATTAACCCAGTTTGAGAAAACTTGAATAATATGTAAAAAATTTTTTCTTTATTTCGCTGAGAAGTCGATCAAGTTTTCCCTGACCTTTACACTTTTGCTGTTAGATAGTGGAGTTTGGCTTCCTTATAACAAACGAAATAAACTAAACTTAAAAAAAATCGAAATTCAAACCGTGAAAAACTCAATTTGACTTTTCCTGAAAAAAGGGAAAAAACATCGCGACCTCTATAAGAGTCTGATGTACGTTCATTGACTCTTGATCAGCATGAACAAATTTTGATTTTTTTCCTGAAACAAAAAACACCAGACCTAAACAAATGGAAATTCACTTCGCCTTGTATCGAGAAAAGTTTCAACATTTTTGAGTTTTAGTCATAATTCGAGCAAATGAAGCAAGCGAGCAGGCTTAGAACAGCTTATTTTAATAGCTAAAAAAATTACAATAGCTCAATTTAATCCGTTAAAATTGGTTTTTTTTTTAAATTTTTTCAGCGCCTTTTTAGAGTAAAACATTTTATCGAATTTTTTTTGATTTTTTGTTTTTCTAGACATTTTTCTACGAAAATTATTGGCAAATTTTCTAATTTTACAATGACTTTCAAATAGGTTTAAGCTCTACTTTTTCGTTCAGATCCTGTTATCATACCACGCACAAAAAACGACACTAACGTGGAAAACTTGTTTGTTAAATTTTTTAAAGAATATGGTCGGAACATTCTTGCTAGTTGCACAGTGACCTGCTATCTTTGAACCTTAAATAGTGGGAAAATAACAAAAAAAACAAGTTAATGAGCCCTACTACAAAACACTACTGATTATTGATTAGTACTGCGCCAATGATTAAAACTAGCACATAAAAAATATTTCCAAGGCATGAATAGACGGTTTCTGTATGAACACTTTTATAACCATTTGCGATTGAATAGCCAAATATCTCCTCAGAAACCATACTTTGCAAGTTTTGATCCATTCAGATCATTTTAAATAGTTTTATAAACCATTTGGAACCCAAAACAGAGAAACGAAAGCTTTGTTGCGATATCCAAAGCAGAGCATTCATTCCTTTGATCAATTGTTTGGGGTTGAACCTACTGTCTAATACCTTGAACATTGGCGGCACTGGCGCGTCAAGAACATTGGCGGCACTGGCGGCGCGTCGTAAAGTATACACAAAAAAGCTGCACCAAAGTATGCGAAAGAACGACTCTGCTCATAAGCTCGCTTAAGAAAACACGTCGACAATCTTACTGCCTGTGTTAGATGCCAGTGAATTTGATTCAAGTTGACCACTCATTTCGGCATATGTAAGCTTTGTACCTAGTAACGAATGTCCTCCCCCCTTGCAAAAGGGGGAAATAGTTAAAGAGATCCCTCACTTCTATATTTACCTGTGGTACATGAGGCACTGCACTGTTGCTGTAGTCCTTGATGATCCTGTCCAGTAAGTGACCCATCAAGTCACCACCTCTCTTCTCTCCAAACCCTTCACCCTCCCCCTCCCCCTCCCCATCGGCATCTGTGATTGGCTTTCTCCACTCTGGCTCCTCTAGCCAGCTCCTCCAGCAAGGATACTTGGGGCCCAGAGCACACTTGACCAAGTTCGAGCCTGAAAAAAAAAAGATTTAACAAAAAGTAAGAAAAACGAATTCCTTTATCATGAACACAGATTGTAGAAATGAAACAGCTTGAAACATGATAGTCTTACGTTCACACAGCCATATTTTTAATTTTCAAACTACACGAGGTCATTGCAATTGAATGGTATGTAAAATTTTCTCAAAAATATTGCATATAAACCTAACCCATTTTTTAGGAAATTAAAAACCACAAATTAAAAACCACAATAATAATCTGATAGTTTTCCTCACCCACAACTGGTTGTACGTCGTGCTGTTTGGTCTTGCTGGAGTTGAGCAGAACTTCTATGCTTCTCTTCGCATACTCACTGTCGGCACAGGTCAAACCCATACACGAGGAGCCCAAGAAGTTCACCACGTTCTCCTTCCGCTGTGCAAACATAAATGGTGATTACACGTGACAAAAATCATTGTTCCAGTGAAACACGTAAAAAAAGAGATCAGTGCTTTTCAGCTATTTGAGGCAACAGATAAGAAAACAAAATTATTTCATCTTTGATAAGTCACTAGCACTTTTCAGGTTACTTTTAGTCCCATTTACTGATTTCCGTAGAAAAAATATTTCGATGTCCTGGATTCAAGGGCCTAATAAGCAAACAAAATAATCTGGTGTTATATCAAATATCACAGGCCTAATCTTTATAGTATTGTGCACAAGAAGTGGAAACGTTGAAGTTCTAAATAGGGTGTCCCACTCTTTAACCTCACGTAATTTCACCCCCTTTTAATACCGATAATCTGTTTCAAATTAAGTCTTTTTTAAAGTGCAGGATTTTATAATAAAGTGCACTAATTGAGGCCAGAAAAGCAAGTGTTAATTCACTTCATGCCCCAGCATCTCAAAAATAACTGCATTCCGATTAGTTAGACAAACAATCCCTCATTCACGCGTTTAAAACAGAGATAACCTACATGGTGCTTATTGAAAGCAACTCAGGAATTTTTAAAAAATGTACATAAAATCATACTGCCTCACACTTGAACGATTGTTGTTACCATTCTATGAGCTATAATGTTTGAAGCGTCCTTCCATTTTACTTTATCTTCCAGAGACTAAAAAATAGTGGTATCAGGTCACGAGTATTATCTTAAACGTATGAACAAAACCACTACTAACTGGAACTGCTCAAAATATCAGACTCATAAATGCCGAGCAACAGCAACTATGGATGGCGAAAATTTTATTCAAACGAGGGGTGAGCATAATCACGACATATCTACGGGAAAACCTGATGCTCGACTAGTTTTGAAATAAAGGAAATCCAACGAAACACTTACTCATTTCCTTTACATGTTGAGTTAGTTTGTCTTATAATTTTGTTTTAATCTCGTGGAAGTTTAAATCATAAAAATACATTTCTCGTTGTTCCGACTTTCGTAACGAAAGTAATGGAATATTTGTGCTCGGGGTGGGTTTTTTTCTTCAGACAAATTTCGACTTTTTAACTAGCTATTTTTAACGGAACTTTTAAAATATCGTTTGAAAGGTGTTGTTGTCCTGAGCTTAAATTTGAAAAGATATTTTACCTGTGATCGTTTTTCGTAAAGTTATGGGGGTTTAAAGATTGCCATTTTGGCCAATTTGGGACAATTAACGCGCGATATACTTCGCTCTTAACGCGTAAGCGGAGGTTTAATCCGTCTTAGAAAACGTTCCAAATTGGTTTCATGAAGCTTATTTGCCATAATCGATTTGTTACTAGGAGCGAAATCTATCACTTTGTTTTATATGGCGTGTGCGGGGATGATTTTCACAAAAAAGCTCAAATTAAAAAAAAAATTATTTTGTTTATTACATTTAAATTTTTCGTGTTATTACTGCTCCATACACCTTAGAGGCATTCGGAACATTCAGGGCTTCGCCCTGATACGAGCAGTCTTGTTGTTCTTGTTCTTTTGCACAACACTATTTCTTTTAGTTTTGACTATTTCCAGTGACCTTGTAGGGTCAAAAGATTGCCGTACAGTGTAAGGTCAGGATGAAGACGAATTATAAATTCAGCTTTAAAATGTGTGACTCATCATCATCAAGCTACTACCAGGAAACCACTTCAACATTCGCAACTGACCTTGAGATGTACAGCATCAGTGTACCCCAGAATAGCCTCAATGTCTTTAAACAACTTCTCTTCTGCTTCCTTCTCCACTATTTCTCTCATGTCTCCTTCAGTGAACACTATGGCCAGAGCTTCCACTGCTGCATCGAACACTCTCTTTGAATCGTTTTTGCTCAAAAGAACCACTAAAATATGCGGCAGATTAAAAAAAACTTTGAGGCAAGGTTTCAAAAAAATCAAGTCATTTACAGATGCATTACTTTTGCAAGTACTTGAAATTCAAATTTTTTTCGAGGTTGTTGAAGCACATTGAGATTAATTAATAAACTTTTTGATTGCTTAATCTTCTCAGATGAGTTTTAACAACCGAGTTAGAATGGGGGGGGGTACTAGTTAGAACTTTACGTTAAGACAATTTTTGATATTTGGAAAAACAGAGATTTGCTAACCTAGTTTCTTGCACATATCTTCGTCCAAGACATTCTCTACTCGCTTCTTATGAGCTAAATAAAACGCCAACGAGAGACAAGTTGCACTGAATCTTTCCGCATTTTTATCATTCACTTCGTTAAAGATTTGCAGTTCACTTTCAGTAAAGCTCTCCCCAATACACGCCTTCAGAGTTCCGTAATACTCCGTACTGGCTAGTCGCAACGCATCCGAAAAACAAACAGTAACACTTCTCGCCCAGTTTATTCTCTTCGCAAAAATATCCTCGCAAACTGATTTCGAAACGTGGCAAATCTCAGTTAAGTAGAAAAACATTCTTGGCGTTTGATTTCTCTCGGCTTGAATCATCAGAAAAGCGGCATAAAATTTTCCAGATTTTGACTCTTCATCAATTGCCTTGCTTAAAATTCGCGTCTGTAGCTTCAAATCTTCGCATTTCAGATCTGCAGTTTTATCCACTCGGCTAATCAGGCAATGTCTTAAGTAGTGACATACTCGTTCAATGTGTTCTGCAGTTAGACTGTTAAGGGGGACTTTTTCGTTTGATTTGATGTGTTCTAGGAACGTTTCGAAGGAGGCGCTTGGTTTGTCTTTGGCCACAAGTAGAGAAAACACATCATCGGATGTATCTGTTATGGCCAATAGGAAATACCTGCAAAAACATAAAAACAACACTCAATTTAAAAAAATCTCTTGATTACCTCTCAGTGATCTGCGCAATATATTTATCGGATGTAATTAACATTATAATCATTCACCGGGCTACTTTGGGAAAAGAAATCAGAAAAAAAAAATTCGAATATTTTTACTGATTTGCAGTCCTGATTTCTAACAACCTACCAGATGATAAAACCTGTAGAGTATCCATTCCACGAGAACTTTTCGATGTAAATGTGACAAAATATGTGTACCTGGATGGGACATGGTGCATTGGGAAGCAGCTGAGGATGTACTTGATAAGAATCTGCTTCACAGACGAGTTGTCCCTCAATTGCACTACTGAGTCCAAAATAGTCTGCATTCTCTCAAACTCTTCTTCACTTTCAAGGTTGGAGTAGACTGGGGCTAGAACTGCCAGAGACTCTTGAAGGGCCATCTTTTGATCTCGATCACCCTCGTGCAATCTAGAAAAAATTAATAAAATTAATGATATCGATGTTTCTGTGTCCCTCGTGGAAGTGGTTATATTTTCTGCGTCATCACATTGTTTATGAATGTCAGTATTGAAATGAGCAAGCTTCAAAAAACTTTAAGACGGTTAACCCTTTGAATATCGTTGCATTTTTTCCAAATCTCCTCCCTCGGAAACAAAAGCTCAAAAACAAACTCGAAAACACACAAAAACATCATTAAGGCACAATGCGAGAACTTGAGCTTTTTACGACCACAAATTAGTTAATTGCTCAATTAGTATCATTTTTTTTCGGTTGGTTATCATAACTATTCTTAATTTGCAGAGCAAAACACTTCAAACAGGATTCTATGTTTTCATGTTAGAAATCGATGCCAATTTAGAGCATGTTATATAGTTATTTCATTTTTCCGTAAGATTATTCATAATTCAGAAATGTCAGGCCAAACTTGATATTTGGGTCGCCTTAAAGTAATGAGTACTAAACACACACAGTACGCCCATAAACTGAATTTTACGTTTAATTTATCGTCGCAACAGTTAACTTCAGGGAGAATAAAATCGAAACCAAACATCTCGTAACACAAATCATAAAAATCAACTTTTGCGAAGGATGACGAAGCAAGAGAGATTCGAACAAAACCGAAATAAAACTTCAAGTATAACACTAGATTTTAACTTATAAGTTCCCTTTGGCCTAAGTATTAGCCTCTCCTTGATTTGTGCAACTAATCAGTTTCAACCAAATTTGACAACCTCGAGGAAAGCTCGTTGGTAGTCAAGTGTGGTATCATAATTAGGCCCTTTTAGCGTAATTCATATTCTAAAACAGCCAACGGAAGGATGATAAAGTAAAAGAACAAGGAAACCGACATATCAAGTTAAACCTCATTCAATTTTAAAAACTGTTTACAATTGGCACTTTTTTAAAATAACTCAATTTAAGAAAACTGGATCAATGGGTAAATTTTTTCTTCCGCTTGAAAATCTAAAAACTAAAACCCACTTTTGAAACTAGAAGTCGATCGTTCACGTTTTTCCGCGCCATTTCCCTATTCGTAATTGGAGAGCGCTTCATTCTTTACATTTAAAAGATTCTCTGTCGAAAAAAATTGGTCTGAACACTTTCGGTTTTCAGAATAACTTAGATGAAATGTGATGAATTTAGATGAAACTGGCTGACATCCTAACACAATTGGTCTACAATTTCAACGTTATTTAAAATGATAATTTTTATCTTTTCACGTTATTCATTCACCCTTTAAAAAATGTAAGTGAAATTAGAAAACTTTTATCTGTTATTCAAGAATTTTTTGTATTTTTGATTTTTTTTCTTCAATTATTGTGGTCGGAAAAATCTGGGGTTACTTGCACAGCAACCGGTTTTCCATGTTCCATAACGATTTGTCTAATTATTTGCAATAAAATCAGTTAAACAGAATTTATGAAAAAGCAATCTGCCAATTCCAATCTAAATTTGCATACAAATTTGATTTTTCAGACGACCGTGAGGTATAACTTTTAAAAAACTAGCTTTTGGGAGCCAATTTTTTTTTAAAATTGGTCATTCGGTCTGATGTACCTGTTGAAGAACTGCTCGAGTAGATTGAGGTCTTTTCTCATGAGGTCTGGTTTCCTTGCGGCCAGTTTTGCGATAGCCATTGTGGCATAATTGAGTGTTTTTCCATCCACTGGAGGATCCAATGTCTCACCCAATAGTTTCACGCACGCCGTCTAAAATTAAAAATGATTTGAAAACACCAAGAATATCCTGTTACTCATAAAGTAGCACAGAAAATTCTGACCACAAAAATAAGTGACAAGGGGCAAGGGATTGGAATAAATCAGATTGGGCGACCACTCCTTTTTCATTAAATTACCACATGCGTTAATCAGACTGAAAAGAAAGAAAATCTAGATGAGTTTTTTTCATACTGAAGGAGCCTTTTAGAAACATTTTTGGAAACGCTAAAATCTAGTACAAGATTCGATGCACTACCTGCTTGATTTAGGGTGCTTGGAAACCATAAGAAAAAATCTACGCTAGGTCCAGTCAGCTTGGAGACAGGTCGGACCAGCTATAAAAACAAAAAAGATGATCTACGGGGAAAACAAGATAAAAAACAGAATTTTTTTTCACGCAAAATCAGGAGAAAAAAATATTGAGCAGAGCCCATTTATCATACTAAAGCACTTTATACAGACGCCTATACCACGCCAGAGATCATGGCAAGCTAGCCAACGAAAAATGAACCAAATAATTTTTTCAGACTTAATTTTTGAAAAAGTGTCCAGAAACACAATATTCAGCATTTAACCAGCATTGATCAATACTTGGGTAGACATCCGACGAGCCAAAAAATAACCACGTTTTTCAACTTGAAGTTTCACAATAAAACATTCAAACAACGCCAGAAAACAACATTGGAAAATATACAAAATCGGAGATGGTAATTTAGAAATTATAGAAATAAATCGCCAAAATGGCTATCAATTTATAGCAAAACAGTATTAATCAGAAGGAAACATCAAAACTAAGTCGACAGAATACCATTTGACTATAAATAGTCCGACTATTCGTTTTTATTTGAAGGAACTTCAGAAAATTAGCAGCCTGAACTTTATAAGCTTAAATTAATAAGCTGGTAAAATCTCTGAACCAAGTTTGCGACGGGATAATGTCTAGTAGACGATTGCAATACCGTTGCGAATCAAAAGATTAAACAGAAGAGGCGAAGGAGCATTTCGTAAGCACAAGCAATAAAACGGCAAAAAGTAGCTCTAAAACGTTTTACAATGAACACAGAAGCGAAGCTTCGCTTCGCTAACACTAGCGAGAACACGACAAAACAGCTCTATAAATTGCAATTAGAAAAACTCATTTCCATTTAACATTATCCACGCAATGCTCGTTCAACAAAAGAATTTAACACAGTTTAAACTATTAATACCTAATTACCTTATTGTCAAAGCCTAATACACCTACCAATCGCAGAAAAAAAACGACTGAAAGTTTTGAGAAAAATTTAGACATTTTCTGCAAAAAAAAGAACCCAGGCTCAAAAGTTAAGTTGTGTTTTCGAGATAACAACGACATTTTAATGGATGTAAAATGATCAGACGTGTTGCATATTACTAAATCAATCAAAAACAGTCAATGTTGCTTAAAAAACAATCAATCAGGTTCAGCGGATTTAAATTCAATCGGCCCGACCTTCATCAGTGGTCCGACTGTCTTCAAACTGACGTCAGACGCAAAAGTGGCCACATGATGAACAAACAGCAGCGCTGAATGACGCAACTTGTTCGTCACTCCAACTCCGAAGCACGACTCAAACACGAGAGAGATTACATCTATAGCCTGGTTAGTCACTACTCTTGATTTGAGTAGCACTGGGAGGATTTTCAGCTTCATTTTTGTATTCACGGGGGTAGTTTTGTCATCAGCAGGCTGAAACGCACCAAATCGGTATATTAAACAATTTTTGGTATTTTAAAAAATATCCTCAGTATATCAAACAATTTTCTCCGAAATGATATATTCGGTATATTAAACAATTTTTTTTACAATTTTAGTATATTATACTTTATTTCAAAAACAAGCTTTTAAGCGTTTAATGTCCATTCAAAAAGAACTAAACAACTACCATTTTTAGATAGAAACAACTCAAGAGAAAATCAATCAATATCAATACGAACAGTTTTCGGCCGTTTATCTCCGCTGAACATCAAACACAGTTTCTGAACTAATTTGAGGCTGTTGAAGTCCACTGACCTAAAAAAAATTGATTTGAAATTATTAGTTTAAACATACTGAAAATAAAAAACAAAACAAAAAACAGTCATCAAAACAAAACTAAACAAGGATAGCTGGTTGCTGTGCACTGAATGTTTAGATCAAAATAATAACAAAAAAGTTAGAAGAAAACCCGATTTTTTTCTTTCAAATTGCTGTAAAAGCTTTTGGGCTTTAGAAAATTCAAAATCTCCCCAAGAACACAAATACATTTTTAAAAAGTTTTGGCTCTTCAAACGACTAATTATGAGGCAACTTAGCAAATGCCGCATCAGTCGAAACCACTTAAGCCAAATAAAACTTGAGTTGGAAAATAAAGAAAACAATCAGCGAAAAAAGGAAAAGAAAAATAAGGGTTGGTTTACAAGAATGGAACGAATGGAAATAAAGTTCGAATGGAACGGCCATCTAAAACGCGGAAAAACTCAAAAAAATAAATGTTGCCGGGCATTCCATCGGATGAGACATGACACCTGATTCAACTGATTTTGTTAAACTAGTTGTTCACCCGAAAAAAAAACCTCTATTCCGATTTGATAACGCTTCTGTAAAAAATGTTTTTGGAGAAAAGTTGATTTTTATTTCAAAAAAAATTCTCTAAAAAATACGCTAAACGAAACTTCGAAAACAATTTTCTCTGGTGTAAAACTATATTCGCATGGCTCAATTTGAGTTGTAAGCTATAAAAAACTTATTACAAGACTTACTCGTTCGAAATCAGACTAAAATCCAAAAAATTCTGAACAGTTTTTCTCAAAAACTTTTGAGAGAAAACATTTTTTGAATCATTCGAATCATGATTGAACGCTCAACCCATTCTGATCATTATATGTGGTACCTGATTTTGTGTCGAAAACAAAACGAAAAAAAAAACTAAAACACCAGAACAAAAAATTATATTTACGAGCTCGGTATAGATTCCATTTTCAAAATTAGAAGTCGACCACGTTTTTTGTGAACCCCAATTTTGATGTTCGATAGTGAAGTTTGCCATCCTTTTAACATTAGAAATGCACTGAACTGATCAGAAGTCAAACCGCAGAAAAAAATCAAAATTGAGCGTGAACAAATTTTAAAAACTTTTTCCTGAAAAAAATAACTAAAAAAAAAACAGCAAGACCTCCATAAGAAAACTCACTAGGCTTCATTTCTTTTTACTAGAAAGTTTCATGATAGAATATAAAAATCATTGTGTGGGGGCAAGTTCTTTATACGATATTTTTAAAATATTTTTATCCATGCAAACTATAATAGTAGTCCTTACTCGTTGAGTAGTCGCAGTGCATTCTCGGCAACGTCATTCACAGCGAAGTGTGAATCGGCTGAAGCCAACAGGATAGGAGAGAACTTGAGCTCACTTGTCGATTCACTGTTGAACAGCAGCCGCACAATTCCTATTTTGACCTAACAAAGCAAAAACCGAACATCTAGTTAAGCAGCAAGAACGAAAGGCAGGCATCGCAATTTATTTCAAACCTAAAATCTACTTAAAAATCCCTCTTGGTAGTTACAAAAGGATGATTTTAAAAATTTGGCCTAAGAAATATTTTTGTTACCGCTTGAAACTTTTTGTTTCTACTTGAAATCTGCTGCTTTTGAAACTAGGAGTAAGAGAAAGATTTTGAGCACATTTCACTTGTCATAAACTCAAAACAAAGTCCCAAAAGTCAAACTGTGAAAAAATAATATAAACGAGCGCAGCCAAAGCTATGCTTGAAAGAGCAGAAAAAAAACTAGAACACTTCGAGTGTTAAAACTTTGCAACGCTCACCTTTTCCAAATAAGCTTCGGTGAAAGTCGTATCTAAATTCTGGCAAACATCTTTGAAAGAGTTCTTTGAATATCCTCCCGGTATATTATCCTGATCCGGATTTCTGACATAAGGCAACAAGAGAACATCAGTAAAGAACTGGGTCACAAAACGAAGAGTTTCCATTGTCATAGTTTTGACTATGTGCTCATTCAGCACGTTGCTTGGATCAATTTGAGACTCGACCGCTAATTTCAAGCAGACTTAAATTGCCACCAAAAAGTACATAATTATAATCTAGGTAATGTTTTACAAAAACTTCGGCAAAATTAGCCACTTTTTTATTGATTTGTCGAACATTAACCACAAAATACACTTGTTCCTGAATTTTGTGTATTCATCCTCTTAATATGACAAAAATTTAATGAGCTGATTTGGGAAGTCGCAAGCAAAAAATAGTGCAAAAACGAAAGCTACGTTTTCATACGGTTGTTGATGATACAAAAAATCTTTCTTACTTCGATTCGAAAATATATTCTATCCCTGAACTCCAGAAAAAGAGTCACTTTCATGCATACCAAATTCTTTCTTATCTCATAATAACCTCCATTAAATATGTCAAGACTGCTTGAAAATCACTTTTCGGTTCTTTCACAGGACTGATTTTGACTTGTGGCTCGAAGCTGGCGTCTCCGAATACAGATACAAAAAGCGTCATCAAAGCCCATTTGTGGCTTAATTGTTGATTATTGAGACATTTGAGTAGATCTGGCATCAGGCACACTTTTTCAGGATATGAGAGACGATGGAAACCCATTTTGATGTAGACTATTGCAAAATTCTAAACAAAATAATATGATTACATTTTTGCCTGATTGAATTATCTTTTCTCTATCATTTTTTTTTCGATTCACACCCTTTATATCAAAGCAGATCGTCGAACATAGAATTGGTTTGTAAAAAACTTTAACACAGAGGCAAAGCTGCACTTCGCAAACACTAGAAGCTGCGCGACGAGAACACGACAGAACAGCAGCTTTGTAAAGTGAAATAATAAAAGATAGAGATAAGCCTCGAATTAGTATAACTTTGCTACGCATCGGCTCCGAACCTGCGACCTCGAGAATTGAGTCTCACGCCCTGCCCTCTTTGCCACGAACGCTTAAAAACTGGCAAACACCAGTAACAAACAAAGCAGCTACATATGCTAGCAAATGGCCAATGCTATGCACCAAAAACATAATAGACACAATTTTGCAAGTAATACTTTGGAATATAACAAACTGAAGGCACACTAATTTTGAATTTAATAAATTGAAAAGCATAAAGCCACATTATTTATGAATTATTCATTTCAAAAAATTGCGAGATATATTGAGTTGAAAAAAACGAGTTTTTATTATTGTTATGTTCTTTGAAACAAATAGTTTTTTTGGTTCATTTGATGAATTTAAAAGGCCTCAACTGTGTTAACTTATTACTATTCGAATGTCAAAGCACATTCTATCAAAAAACGGTAAAGGTGCCTCAAGCGTGGCACCAAAATTTGCGACTTAGGTTAGAAAAAATAATAGTCGTAGTATAACACTAACGCTCACTTGAGTTCGCTAGTGCAAATATCGCAATCAAAACTATAATTCAAGACTAAAATTGTCAGGTAAACGCAACCTATGTCATAGGCCGTTAGCATCCAGTAAAAAATAATTTAAGGAAAAAATAGATTTTTTTTCATATTCCAGTATTTTTTTATCAATAATTCAACTTTCACCAATCAAGCTAATAAACTTTGAAATGACTAATTAAGTTTTCATGGCGCAAAATTTTTTCATTAGCCAAATTTGAAAAATTTTCAAGCAAGCTCATCACGGGATCGCGCTCAAAAAGTTTCAAATTGATTGACTCTGTGAATCGCTTCGCAAAAAATGAGGCAAGTTTTATTTTATTCAAGCAAGATTTTAAGCGATGAAATTTTCAAAATAATCTAACTTTTAATAGTTTGAATTTGTTCGCTCCGAATAAAATTGTTTCAAAGCAAGGTATTTAAGCGATGACATGTTTTTGAATCTCTCAAGTTCTTGTTTGAATTAGCTAACATCTAGAAATTTTTTCTAAAAACGCCATTCAGGCGATGAAACTTGTGATATTTATTAAAATTTATTTATAGTTTGAATCGATTCGCAAAAACACTTCTTAGGCGATTAAATTTTTTAAAATCTTGTGTTTTTTTATACTGCTTATCGGTTTGCAATTTTTTACGGTTTTCCAAACAAACTCATCAAGCGATGACCTTCAAAAATTAAAAGTTAAAAATAACGTGCATCGGTTCCCAGAGTTCTTCTGACCATTAAGATTAAGGGATTAAAATTCGAAAATTTGCATCATTCTTTCGTAGCGCGTATCGGTTCAAAAAAAATTTCGGAGTTCACGTGTTAACAAAAAACTTGAATTTGAGCTCAGCTTCCATATCTTAATCAAACGGCTTGTTTGAAAAAATTGCACAGCACTCAAAGTAGGTTTTGGCTATTCTATAACAAAAACAAGGATAATGTTTTAAGCTCGCTCGCCGATCTTCGAAATGAAAATGTTCACTAAATACTTCGACGAGGCAGGTAGTATTTGAATGGCAGGTGTTTTTCACCTTGCAGTTAAATCGGGCTGATTTTTTTTGGAGGTAGTATTTGACCTTGAAGTTAAATCGGCTGATTTTTTTCTGGAGCGTTGACTTAAAAAAATTTTTGGTGACAGCAATTTCTATAACGTTGCGCCCGACTGCAGTTCTAAAATAGCGCGCCTTAATTTATTTGCATTATAACACATGTGTCAGGTGAAATGCGTTAAATACTGAATAGATAGATAATTTTTAGATATATTTAAGAAAACTCAGATATCTTCAAACGAAAAGAGTCTTTATGATAACCTTGAAAAATAGCGTGGCACTTGTATGTTGAAATTGAGAGATGAGTTGCCTCACTGGTATGGACACACCGGTATGAGATTTGATGCGTTTGTTCACATGTACTAGAATCTCCATCACCTAGAACAGTAACAAAACTTCATCAGGACTTGCAAGGGCGGATTTAGAATTTTCCTAAGGAGGGGCTCTTTTAGCAGTTGAAGTGTCGCATTTCTGGCATCCCCCGCCTCCCTACTCCTCAAATCCACTCCTGGAAAGTTGAACCAGAACGACATTAAGATAAAAATCAAAATAAAAGTTGCACAGGAAATATCGCTGTTCCGGCTCTGTTTTCACTGAAAAGTCGTCCAACAAAATGAAAAGTGAACATATAATTCCTATAGCCCCCATAATTAGTGAGTTTCATAAGTGAAAAAATATTTGCGAGATTCATAAGCTCCCATATTTCAAGTTCGAAGATCAAGCTCCCATATTAAGCAAGTTCGAAGATCAAAAGAAAATAGAAAAATAAATTAGAAGAAAGCCAGACGTTCGTTCCAGTATTTCATTTCGGGTTTAATATCGACTGGCTATGGCTCAGAAACTTGTACTCAATTTGGTTCTTGTATCCACCTCCTCGGTCGACACATTGACCAGCAGAGTGAGCAAATACTTGTTCACCGCATTTTCAAGTTTTTCATCAGTCTCGCAGGCAGCCAACACAAACCCTATCCTGTCTACCAACCCACTGTCCAGCCTAGGGGTCAACTGGGAGGTAATCTGCTGGTCAGCCGACTGGCTATTGGAAGTTGCAGCTATATTAACACTATCGATTTCGCTCATTGCAACTTCTGGAAAACCGATTACTCAATTTTTTCAACTTAAGGAGATTTTTAAATAAATTTGCAGATATTATGAAGTAAGTTGCAGCAACTAAACTCTTCAAAAGGCTAAATTTCGTGCATTTTGTATGAATATGTACGAGAAAAAAAAACTTTTCCGATACAAACACTGAAATTCAATTTCTAGGGAACTTGATTTAATTTAGATTACATTCAATATATTTTGACTTGTTTCCAATAAACGGCTTAGTCAATTTCTCCACATTGAAAATATTCGACATGTAAAAAAAACTGACCGAAAAATGACACTTGTTTCAATAATTTATTAGATATGTTGAACTGAATTGCAGATAGTTTATACATAGCAATCTGTGCCAGTGTAAAAGCAGACTAGCTTTCAGATATTTCGTCGGTTAAACATGGACACTGTTATAAACTATTTTATGAGCTGTTTTTTTTCCACAGGCATAATCTAATTTCTGAGGATGCATATCCGATATACCACGTCAGGGAATCTTTTCGAACAACTAAAACTCTTCTGTGAGACGAGGTCTTCAGTTTTGCTAAGTTGGCCATAAAGGTGATTTTTTAGTTTGATTCCTTTTAATTTGATTACAACTTTTTGTTTTGAGCCAATGACACGTAAAAATACTTTCTCCACGTGTGCTACCTTTTAACCTGCAATTTTTTTGCCTTTTCAGATATAGGGCTCACACTTTGACACAAATTGAGTTTTTAATTCGCGTGGGTCACATACTTCCGGGGTTGTTGGGCCTTTTTATGGACAAAAAGGCGTTATTCACTGCGGGGGAGGGATGTTCAAAATTGTCTTTCGTAGCGCATATCGGTTCAAAAAAAATTTCGGAGTTCACGTGTTAACAAAAAACTTGAATTTGAGCTCAGCTTCCATATCTTAATCAAACGGCTTGTTTGAAAAAATTGCACAGCACTCAAAGTAGGTTTTGGCTATTCTACAACAAAAAAGGATAATGTTTTAAGCTCGCTCGCCGATCTTCGAAATGAAAATGTTCACTAAATACTTCGACGAGGCAGGTAGTATTTGACTGGCAGGTGTTTTTGACCTTGCAGTTAAATCGGGCTGATTTTTTTTGGAGGTAGCATTTGACCTTGAAGTTAAATCGGCTGATTTTTTTCTGGAGCGTTGACTTAAAATTTTTTTTTGGTGACAGCAATTTCTATAACGTTGCGCCCGACTGCAGTTCTAAAATAGCGCGCCTTAATTTATTTGCATTATAACACATGTGTCAGGTGAAATGCGTTAAATACTGAATAGATAGATAATTTTTAGATATATTTAAGAAAACTCAGATATCTTCAAACGAAAAGAGTCTTTATGATAACCTTGAAAAATAGCGTGGCACTTGTATGTTGAAATTGAGAGATGAGTTGCCTCACTGGTATGGACACACCGGTATGAGATTTGATGCGTTTGTTCACATGCACTAGAATCTCCATCACCTAGAACAGTAACAAAACTTCATCAGGACTTGCAAGGGCGGATTTAGAATTTTCCTAGGGAGGGGCTCTTTTAGCAGTTGAAGTGTCGCATTTCTGGGATCCCCCGCCTCCCCACTCCTCAAATCCACTCCTGGAAAGTTGAACCAGAACGACATTAAGATAAAAATCAAAATAAAAGTTGCACAGGAAATATCGCTGTTCCGGCTCTGTTTTCACTGAAAAGTCGTCCAACAAAATGAAAAGTGAACATATAATTCCTATAGCCCCCATAATTAGTGAGTTTCATAAGTGAAAAAACATTTGCGAGATTCATAAGCTCCCATATTTCAAGTTCGAAGATCAAGCTCCCATATTAAGCAAGTTCGAAGATCAAAAGAAAATAGAAAAATAAATTAGAAGAAAGCCAGACGTTCGTTCCAGTATTTCATTTCGGGTTTAAAATCGACTGGCTATGGCTCAGAAACTTGTACTCACTTTGGTTCTTGTATCCACCTCCTCGGTCGACACATTGACCAGCAGAGTGAGCAAATACTTGTTCACCGCATTTTCAAGTTGTTCATCAGTCTCGCAGGCAGCCAACACAAACCCTATCCTGTCTACCAACCCACTGTCCAGCCTAGGGGTCAACTGGGAGGTAATCTGCTGGTCAGCCGACTGGCTATTGGAAGTTGCAGCTATATTAACACTATCGATTTCGCTCATTGCAACTTCTGGAAAACCGAATACTCAATTTTTTCAATTTAAGGAGATTTTTAAATAAATTTGCAGATATTATGAAGTAAGTTGCAGCAACTAAACTCTTCAAAAGGCTAAATTTCGTGCATTTTGTATGAATATGTACGAGAAAAAAATACTTTTTCCGATACAAACACTGAAATTCAATTTCTAGGGAACTTGATTTAATTTAGATTACATTCAATATATTTTGACTTGTTTCCAATAAACGGCTTAGACAATTTCTCCACATTGAAAATATTTGACATGTAAAAAACTGACCGAAAAAATACACTTGTTTCAATAATATATTAGATATGTTAAACTGAATTGCAGATAGTTTATACATAGCAATCTGTGCCAGTGTAAAAGCAGACTAGCTTTCAGATATTTCGTCGGTTAAACATGGACACTGTTATAAACTATTTTATGAGCTGTTTTTTTCCACAGGCATAATCTAATTTCTGAGGATGCATATCCGATATACCACGTCAGGGAATCTTTTCGAACAACTAAAACTCTTCTGTGAGACGAGGTCTTCAGTTTTGCTAAGTTGGCCATAAAGGTGATTTTTTAGTTTGATTCCTTTTAATTTGATTACAACTTTTTGTTTTGAGCCAATGACACACGTAAAAATACTTTCTCCACGTTTGTATCACCTTTTAACCTACATTTTTTTTTGGCTTTTGACATATAGGGCTCAATCTTTGACACAAATTGAGTTTTTAATTCGCGTGGGTCACATATTTCCGGGGTTCTTGGGCCTTTTTTTGGACAAAAGGGCGTTATTCATTGTGGGGGAGGGATGTTCAAAATTATCAGGGGAACTGCAACTTCGGATCAATTCTGATTAATAGCATGCCAAAATACAGCAAAAATTTTTGTTGAACCTTCAAATTGGCATTACGTTATGATAATTCAATACAGACTACCTTTTTTGCAGAAAACAGTTTTTGGTTTCGATTTTTTGCACAGTTTTTACTTTTCCCCCAATAATTTAAGTAAAAATTCTCAGACATACCTCACATACATGTTTCTCGACATAAGAAAGATTTGAAAAGTAATTAAGTATTCAAGTAACTAGTTTGAAAATTTTAAGACAATGAGCACATACGAACTCAGTACTTTATCAGACCTCCTCAAGGCAAGATTAAGCTCTATGAGCGGGTTGTCAAGATCCGTAGCTTTTCAAAGAAAGCTAGGCTACATTAACTCAAACTCTTTAGGATCTTAAAGCAACAAGAACGCCTCTCCAACCAGTTTCGAGTACAAAGCCTAGGAAAAAAAATATTTGATCCGATTCTAATTAAAAGTTTCATTCCTCGCATGTCAAAGTAATAGCCCTGCGCCTGAATTGGTTGCAGAGAAATTGAAAGAAGCCTTTAATCAGCTGAAAATTAAAATTTGATTGATCCCAGTTGCTGTACAAGTGGCACAGATTGTTCCGACCATAGTCTTAAACAATACAACACATTTTTTTAAATTATAGTAGTTTTTTTTACGTGATGCGATAAAAGGATCTGAACGAAAAACTAGAGCTCAGGCATAATCGACAGTCATAGTAAAATAAATAAATTGGAAAAAAATGTAGAAAAATGACTAGAAAAAAAATCAACAAAATTTTCAAAAAAAAAATTTCAAATTTTTGTTACAGTTTTTTGAATTTTTGACGTTTTTGTTTCAAAAAAGCGCTAAAATACTCTTAAAACGAGCTCTAGTTGGATAAAACTAAATTTTTCCGCTTAAATTAAGCAGTTGTACGCTTTTATGCTATAAAAATAAACTATTGTAAGCATGCTCGCTACCTCCAAATTGGACGAAAAACCAAACATTTCAAACCTGTTTTTCTCGACACTGGGAAAATTTTTAGATTAGATGGAAAAATTTCCGGTGATTCTTTGTGATAACTGATTTGGCGTGAAAAACAAAGAAAAAAACTAAAACACACCCGAACACAAAAAACTACTTTACCACAAAATTACTCGTAAAACAAAACAATTCTAAGGTCTAATTATCAGTTTTGTCTTTATTGTTCCTAATAGGACGAAGCTGGAGTCAGAAAAAAACTGAAAAGTTACCGCAAACTTAATTGAGCCAGTATACCAGGCTTCTTGAAGGATTATCAGCTAGAGAATCTTTGGGAAAACGTTCGACTCATTTTGAAATTCTTGTTTTAAAATCAAGTTATGTGGTTAATTATACCATCTCAACATTTAAAAGGTAATCTCGCAACTAGTGCATAGATCTCGCGCTATCACGCTCGAACAATTTAGTAGCAGCTCGATACAAGTTTAAGTTAAGCACCAGACATTACGCAAAATTTTAGCTAATCTCTAGAAAATTAATTTCTTGGAGCCTCTTTTTCCGGTGCCTAACTATGGTTTGGCATTATCAATTTTAAACGGAACATAACCTAAGTATAAGATAAAAATCCAGCTCCCAATCCAACATATTGGGCAAAATGCAAGAGACAATTAACATAAACCAAACACATCAAATACTAAGTGCAGCCAGTTTCCGTTCAAGTAGCAGATAAAACAACTAAAAATAACAAGTATAGTCGGCTGCTGTCTCGTCACAAAAAACAAAGTCAACATACCGTTGGAAGAGTTAATGAGCGCAAGTAAACAGACAAAAAGACTGACTTGTTTTGTATTTGAAAAAATCGCAATTTTCGAATTTCCAAGAAACAACCAAATGAACTTAAAGCTCTTGTAATTTCTAGAAAAATTTACGATTGCCATTTTTTATGATAATATTAACCCAATTTGAGAAAACTAGACCAATAAACAAAGTTTTTCTTTCGCTGGGAATTTTAAATATTAAATTCCATTGTCTAATTAGAAGTCGATCACGTTTTTCGTGACCTTTACACTTTTGCTGTTCGATAGTAGAATTTTCCTACCTTGGAACAAAGGAAATGAACTGAACTTAAAAAGCAATCACAAGTCAAACCACGAAAAATCAAAATTGAACGTGAACAAATTTTACGACTTTTTACTGAAAAAGAAATCAGCAAGACCTATATAATGATTGGTTTATGAGAATTTATGAGTGTTAATTTTTTGATAAGGTTAACTCAATTTCAGAAAACTGGATCGGTAGGTTATATCTCTATTCCGCTGAGAAATCTGAAATTAAAAATCCACGTTCGAAATTAGAAGTCGATCACCATTTTTCGTGACCTTTAGACTTTAGCTGTTCGATAGTGAAGTTCGCCTTTCTTTTTAACGAAGGAAATGACGTGAACTAAAGAAAAAAATCAAACCGCGAAAAAGTAAATTTCAGCCTGAAGAAATTATCAGACTTTTCCCGAAATTAAAACGAACAAAAAAATCATCGCGACCTATGGAAGAGTCTGAGCTACGTTCATCAAAGATCGGAACAAATTTTCCAGTGTGAGTTCGATTTTAAATTAACCTTGATTCAGATAAAGAACAGTTTCAAAAACATAACTTCGTTTTTCAGTTATTGAGTCATAATAATTGTACTGCTCAACAAATTAATTAGACGTGAATACCATTTTTACTATTTATTGTTCCAACCAATCAAAAATATCAGATGGGGTCAAATTTAACATATGCCTGTTTTGAATTGGAAATTGAACTGCCATGTAAAATTTAAAAAAAAACATTTTCAAATGTCAAGCAAATTGATTCAATTTTTTAAAGTCCCAATGATCAAGTAAATTTTAAATACAGTCTGAACACTGTGCTACTTTGGAAGCAACCGGATATTCACATTTAAACAAGGATAGCCAGTTTCGGAGCAAGTAGCACAGAACTAGTAGGAAGTACCACAAGGATTTTTAAAAAAAACTAGCGTTTAACGCACCTCCGCTGCTTCGAAAGTTTTCGACAACTCATGAAAAACCGCATATATTGGAAACAACATCTGCAAACTTTTAGTGTACTCTAACTGCACCCAATTACAGGGTTGGTAATTTCGAACTTTTTAATTTTTTTTAATTCCCATTTTAAAAGCGTCATCTCGAAAACTTAATGGGCCTCTGCAGAAATTTGGAGGCCACATTTGTAACCACCGAGGGTCCCTGAGAGCACCCTACTATAGGGTTAGGAGTTCAAAACTTTGCGAACTTTTTAAAACCTAAGTTTCCCGAAAAAAAAATTGAAAAAAAACACCTCATCTCGGAAACTTTAAAGTTTTGAGCATTCATATTGAGAGGCAAGATTTGAGACGCCAAGGTGTACGTTGACAATAAGGTTGTATTTTCATCGAGTTGGTAGTTTCAAATTTTTTAAATTTCTTTGTAGATAAGTTCTTTGAGAAATTTTGAAAAAATCAAAAAACGTCACATCTCGGAAACTAAAAGCATTTGAGCAGTCGCGTTTAGCAGTCGCATGTGGCAAGATTTGCAACTCTTTAGAGTACCCTGACAACACCGGATTATAGCGTTGGGAATTTCAAATTTTGAAAAACAATTAGTTTAAGCTTTCTGAAAATTTTGAAAAAATCACAAAAAACGTCACATCTCGAAAACTACAAAGAATTGAGCAGTCATATTTGGAGGCAAGATGCGCAATCCCTGAGAGTACTCTGAGAGGACCTAAGTACAGGGTTGGGAATTTCAGATTTTTAAAATATAATAATAATTTAAGTTTCAGAAAATTGTTGCACAAATCACGAAAAACGTCATATCTCGAAAACTACTAGAATTTGAATAGTCATATTTGGAGACAAGATTTATAATTCCTTAGAGTATTCTGACAACACCCAAGTACAATTTGCGAATTTCAAATTTTTAAAAATAATTCATTAAAATTTTCTGAAATTTTTTTGAAAAAATCGCAAAAAACGTCACATCTCGAAAACTACAAAGAATTGAGCATTCATATTTGGAGGCAAGATTCGCAATCATTGATAGTACTCTGACAGTACCCAACTACAGGGTAGGGAATTTCAGATTTTAAAAAAATAATAATAATTTAACTTTTCTGAAACTTTTTGAAAAAATCACAAAAAACATATCTCGAAAACCACAAGGATTTGAGCAGTCATATATTTGGAGGCAAGACTCGCAGTCATTGATAGTACTATGACAGTACCCAACTACAGGGTTGGGAACTTCAAGTTTTGTAAATTTTTTTGTTATTTGAAATTTCTGAAAATTTTTGAAAAAATCGCAAAAATCTTCTTATCTCGTAAACTAAAATGATTCGGGCATTCAAAATTGGAGACCAAATTCGCAACCCCTAATTCAATATTGGGCTGCTTAATTTAAACTCGGTAAAATAACCAATAAAATTAAATTGGAAAATCGGAACAAAATTCTTAACCATTGCAATATACGATATAGCTTAACCATGCAAAAAAAAAAATACGTTGAAAAAGCTTAAACATGGCGAAATAGTGAAGTCCGCATTTAAATATATAAATAGATTAAAAATTATTTCTCAAAAAGATAAGAAAATTTTGAATTTTTCGCCTAAAATTTTGTTGTATTTTTATTAAAGGGCGATTGAATTAGGTGAAAAGCTGCAAAACTACAAGTCATAATATCTAGACTAACGTAAGAATTGGATTAAAATTAAGAAATCAGTCTCATTTGTAAACTTCGTGTCAGTTGGTCTAAAAAAACGGAAAAAAATCAAACCAGTTTTTTCGAAACTAACAAATTTTTTGAAATCCGAATTAGGGCCGCAAGGGTTTTAACAGGTTACCTTATTTGGCTACCTACGGGTGAATGCCTAGTAAAAATAGGGCGGAAAAAATGCTAATCCATAGTTGCTTGCCTTCATAAAGTGGTCTGACCACAAGAAAGCAATACTTCTCGTTTTTCCCTAGTACACATGAACGTTTCGTATACTCAAACATTTGATAACTTAAATGAAAATTAATTCGAACCACTTCAAAAATTTTTCAAATGGCGTGTTCAAATAATTAGACAGCTTAAATGATAAAACTTTGAAATGTGTCAAATTCGATAATCCACCCAGGGAATAGGAGTCTCGCAAGTCCACCACGGTTCTTTGAAAGTTTGCCATAACCCACCTACAAATCAGCTACATATGCTATAAAATTGCCAATGCTATGCCAACTTTTTGAAATTTTTAATTTTGATTCCCAAATTGGCGCTAGAAAACTCCAAAAACCTAACTTTACACGAGTAAAATCAAAATTTCACGGCTTAAATTAAGCATAAAAAACTTTTGTATGCCTGCTGAGCTTCACCTTATTAGCTTGAAATTAGACCAAAAATCAAAAATTTCAAACTAGTTTTTCTCGACACAAAAAGTTTGTTCAAAATTTTTTAATGTCGTTCGAATCACGACTAAAAGGGTTTTAAAATGATTTATCACACGAGCCATTCGAAGATTGTTTGTGTTATCTGATTTAGCGCGGAAAGAAGAAAAAACTAAGACGCACCCGAATTCAAAGTTCCTCCACATTTTTCCAAATGTTCGGAACAAAAAACGAAGAAGAATGAATTAAGATAAAGAATGAATTAACTATTTCAAATTAGCATAATAAACATTTGTTTAAGCTATCAGCACTGAGTCAAGCTACTAAAATTGACTACGCAGGTTTATCAGGACAATTTATATTAAAATGTATTATTAAAGATATGATTCATTGATATGATTGAATCAACATTTTAAAGCAGTCAGCTACAAATTAACTATTTACATATATTTTACACGAACTTCGAAAAGGACAATAACATCTAACAATTTGTCTCAAAATTGATATACTTTCATATAAATATTTACAATACTCAGGAATAATCTTTTTTTACACTGTGAAGATAATTTGACATATTTTTACAAACATTCAAAAATTACTATATACAATTACAATTTCTTAAATCAAAAGGCGAGTAGAGCTGAAGATATCGAACTTGAGGTTTTGATCTCAACGGCATAAAATATGAACTTCAAAAAAATTTCTTATTCTGATTGAAAATTTTTAAAATTTGATTAATAAAAACCTATTTGAAAATGACAAACATTCAAAAATCCTTGGCAGTTGTAAGAGTTATTAGTCATTTTAGAAGATCACTGGCTGAATGAAGCCAGAATACCGTACAGCTTCTGAACCAGGTTGCCAGCAACCGACAAAAACTCGTCAACTTCAGGTGCCACTGTATCATGCCTTTCAAAACCATCACCACCGGCGTTGACTTCTGTCGAACTTTCTTTCAAGCTTCTAGCCTCGAGTATTAAGAAGTTTAAAACTTCTTTTAATGACCGACAATCTTCGTTTTTAATTGGATGTTTTTTGCTGCAACATGCCAAGTAATTCCAGAAAGTTTTACAAAGCGCACTTGATAGAAGCCAATCGTCATCACCAAATTCACGAAGGTTTTCAACTAGGGCCGAAATTAGTTCAGTTTCCGATATTTTATCGCATTGAGTCGAATCCAAAGTCATGTTGACTAAAACTCCGACGACGTTGAAAAGAAGTTCACGTCTTCCGCTATCAACCAACGTGAACAGTAGAAGATCGATTTTGTTTTCAATTAAGAAATTCCTGACCTTTTCCGATCTTGTGAGATTGGCGTAGACACGAACGCATTCGGTCATAACTTCAAGATTCTCGTCGAAACTTTGCAGATCTTTAGGCATCATCACGTTTACCAACAACTGTGCAATCTTTGTTTGGTTTTCATGAATTGCACATTCTTGCAGTGTACCTGCAAAGTAAGACAAGTTATGCAGAACTACTACTGTATTTAATACCAGTTCTCGATGAGTAAGTACCGGTTTTCTGTTTAGTATTTTCAGCAGCAAACTTTGGAACTTCGAGTTTCTACAAAGAGCTGTTCCGATAGATTCTGACAAGCTCAAATTGGCTATTAACCCAGTCAATTTAACAAGAACGTCGTCGTTATCTGTAGGACTTTCGGTGTCTTGATTTGGCAGGGACTCCGAAGAAGTCTGATCAGTCTTCTGTGAGAGAAAGTAGTTCAAAATCAACAGCAATGTTGACTCACTTTGAGAGAAAATAAGGTCGCGGTTCGAATCCGCCCGACCTCCGCTTACAGCTACAATTGAGAAAAAATAAATAATTCTAACTGAAATATTAGCCCTGTTGTAGTGCTTTTTCAGAGCTGATTTCAAAATAAGGCACCAGTTTTCAGTTTTTGTTATTGCGTTACAACATTCAGGGTTCGTTACCACGCGACTGAGAGTTCGACAAATATTCAACGTCACTTCTGTTTGAGAATCATAGGAGGTGAGAATCGTAAACAACTGAGCGAATAGTTTATACCTTATAAGGTATACAGTGTTGACTGGATCTTCTGCTATATTTCGAATGCAAGACGTAACTTGAACTAGAATGTTAAATGTCTTATCACCAGTCAATTGAGGTGTATTGGTTAGAAAATTAGAAATAGTCGGAATCAGACCAAGCTCTATTAATTTCTCTAGTAACTGTCCGTTGCTGCTAAGAAATTTCAAGGCCCCGAAAACATAAACTAGAACGTCGTAAGTCTGTTCCTCGGTGACAGTTACAACGTCCAATAGCAAATCAAGCAAGCTGCTCTCTGCAAAAATTGTATCATTTTCTTCACTTTTCGACAACTTGAACACTAACTTACAGACATTGTTCAGATTATTTCCACTAACTCGATACTTCAAGATAACTTCAGCTAATTTCATTTGTAGTTCTGGATTCTCAATGTCTAAGAGCTTAAAAACGGTTTTCAGAACGTTCGATCTCAGAGAATTTCGTTCTCTGTACATTTCCTGTGAAGATAGAAGTTCGTCTAGCTCTTTGATCAGACTCAATAGCAACTCAGGGCAGCCATCTTTCGTTAATTTTGCCAGAATCGGTTCCATTTCTGAATTCAAGTTATCGTAACTTAACTCTCGTGTCTCGTCTGTTCTCGTCACTAACTCTACTCGTTTTTGATCTTGTGTTGCTGATGCCGAGTGCGGATCCCGTTTATTCGTTTGGGGATCTTTCAGATTAGTCTCGCTACCGCCGCTGTTTCCCCGGGACTCGGACGTTAGGTACCCACTGTCGACGTTCTTCCCCGGAACCGGACATATCGGGGGTCTTTCTTTCGGTGCGCTATCAGAACGCCGCTCCTGTATTACAATAGCATTTTCCATGCTTACATTAAGTGAATTTGCCGATGATGCATCTACACTAGTAGCTCTCATCAATCCTTTTGAGTTTTTCCTTTCAACAACATCTTTCGATCTTCTTTTATGATTTCCGACTGCCGGAGTTGTGGGTGCAATAGGCAGCATCGGTTTGTGTTCCAGGGGACTCAATTTGGTCCCACTGGGAGGTCTAGAATCGGTAGGGTCGAAGTGTTTACTGCTGAGACTGAAACTAGACGGTGGTCGACTACTGAACGTAGGTCCTGGGGGTTCTCCAAATAGGGTTCTTTTGGACTCTTTAGGGGTGAACGGTCGTTTGGTTGTGACCATTTTTAGGGAAGTTCTCGCTTCGTTTATGATATCTGTGGCAGTGTCTCTGTTTCTGGGAAGAGCGTAGAAAGGTTCTCCTGATGTTCGGCGTCTGCGGGAGGATCCTCCACCACCTTCAGCAGAGCCCTCCATTATTACCTGAAAAAAAATATTATATTGACATATCAATAACAAGGATAGCAGGTTACTGTCCAAGTAGCATAGAATGTTCCGACCATATAGTCTTTAAAAAAATTGCACGAAAAAAGTTTTTCGTTTTCAAATTAGTGTAGTTTTTTCTGCGTGGTTTGATATAAGGATCTGACGTAAAGCTATCATTTAGGCATATTCGACAATCATAGGAATATAGGCAAACGACACAATAGAATTTGAAGAAAAAAGACAAGAAAAACGAAAAAAATGTAAAAATTTTTTGAAGTTTTTGATACCCAAAATTGCCACAAAAATATCTAAAAACTAACTAAATTCGAATAAAATTTAGATAGAGCTTAATTTAGCTATTCTAAACGGCTTAAATTAAGTATAAATAGGTGTGCTCGCTCACTTTACTCGCTCGCATTTAGACGAAACATCAAAAACTTCAAACCAGTTTTTCTTGCCAAAGGGAAACTTTTTCAAAATTGTTTAATGTTGTTCAAATCACGACTGAAAAAGCTTTAATATGAAATATCACTCAACTCTTTTCGATAGTTTTTCGTGGTAGCTGATTTTGCGTGGAAAACAGAAAAAAAAAATCTAAATCACTCGAATACAAAGTTCCTCCTCATTTTTCAAATGATTGCAACAAAAACAGAGGCGTAGCTTCGCATCACTTGCCATACCACAAAAAAAGCTTAGCAAGCTAGCAGACAGGAAAAGAGAGCCACTAAGTCCAAAAAAAAACGGAAACGTTTCCGAAGAAACCAAAACTAAAAAACTTCAAAATGTTGTCTGATATGTTGTTCTATTTGCGGAAAACACGCCCAGAAACTTAATCGGCGGCGCTTAAGGAAAATTCAAAAATAGCAAAACAAAATTTGATGTCATGAAAAACTTTGAACTATAATTTCTTTTCCGAGATTCTTAAGGATTTTTTTTTTGCGATCCCCAGGGAAACATACAAATTATGGCGAACGACCGAAAATAAGTTAATAAGCCACTAATATATAAGCCAAAATTTCTTAGGCTGAAAGTTTTTTAAAGCGAAAAAAAACCTAAAAAAATACGAAGTCAAAGTTAGCAGAATTAAAAATTGCAGGAAATGTGAAAACAAAAAAGCATTTTTTTGTAGTTTGAAAAAAAAAACAGGTCCTGGTCATATTCGAATTCAGTCCACTAATTCGAACAAAGAAAGCCGGAGACGCTTAAAAATTAGATTCATTATGAACCAAGATACCAAATGATTCGGTTAAACAAGTTGTTAACCCGAAAAAAGTCAATATTCCGATTAGATAGCGCTTGCTAATCGCAAGCGTAAACTAGCTGAAGAATACTTAAACTATTCCCCCACGTAGGGAGCAGTCGTATCGTAAAGTGACAAAGGTGCCCATATCTTTAACGAACGGTTAATTATTCGATGCCCACCAAGGTTTGTGTTCATTCATTTAGTTAGCAAAACTGATTTCAATAAATTATATTTGAATAAATAATGACAAAAATATACATAATATTTCTATTCAAATGAAATGTACAGCTTTTCCTTTCAGATTTATTTAATCCGGTGATAGTGGCTCACCATTCAACATTTCTAACCGTGGAAACCAAAGCACAAGTTTTTCTTTGAAATCCTCTTGATCGACCACTGAATTATCAGACACGTCAATAACCCCCATCAAATGACAGTCCACTAAGCTCTCAAAACCATCTAAAGATTTAATTGAATTACTCTTGGCCGAAAGTGCTTTTAAACTGTAGCACAAATAAAGCGGAGATAGGTCCTTAATTTTGTTGTTATCAAGAGTCAGCTTTTTCACGTTCATAAAACCTGCTAACGGTTCAATAGATTCTAAATTGTTCTCCGATAAATCTATTTCCGAAAGCATGAAGAGACATGTAATTCTTCTAATTTGAGTTAACTTGAAACCTGGTAACTTTAAAGCTCCGTCAACTGATTTCGGCTGGTCTGCATCACCGTTGACCAAGCATCCGTTAAGTTCCTGATTTTTATGACCTTCCAAAATCAGTTTCTGTTGAACTATTTCAGCTTCTAAAATAACATCACTATTAGTATCTTTATAATGACTAGCTCGCAACGAATCGATGGATATTAATTTCTGAAGACTTTCCAAGCTTTTCGATTTGTTCACATCAACGTCAGTCTTGTCGACATTATTTAGCAACCGCCCTCGATATAGCTCGGTCAATTGAATCAATACGTATTTATTCATTGGCTCTTCTTTCGCTAGATCCAAGAGCATTTCAGTGTCATACTTGCCGACATCTGGATAGGCCGATTGCATTCCACTGACATGTTGGCTCAAAAGAGGCTTCGGATCTACGAAGCTAAACATCTTGTCATTCTCTTCCAAAACTAGCTTCGGACAATTTTTGATCTCAAGTTGTTCCGGTAGCTGCAAATCGACTTCAATTTTTCCGAAAGGAGGTATCGAACTGCTAACGATAGACAATATCCAATGATTTGACAGCTCCTCTGAACTGTTGAAACTTGTATACAAGTTCACAGCTTTGATTGTATATCTCACCATACTCGAGCAGAGAAATATTTTGGTTGGTTTGATTTTCGATTTAGAGACTGGCTTTGAAAATAGAAGTGAAATTGAACTGAAACTTCTGATGACCATGATTGATAGAATAGATAAAGTTTCGGAGTGCCTGTTCCCATGGAGCCACCTAAACTAAGCTAAATTTAAGCGCTCAATTTACATCATTCTTATGAAGGTTTCTTTACATCATTCTTATAACGGTTTCTTTTAAATTAACCGAGAAAAAAAACGCCCGGCAGAACTAATCAAAGGAATAACAGCAATTTGTGCAATGAGCTGAATAGTTCCAATGCTTGTCCTTTCTCTCGCAAGTAAATTGTCTAAATCTTTAACATTTTAGGTGCAAGGATTAAAATAAAAAAACTTTTTATCATGATGCATACTATGCCATTATTATCGTAAATATCTTGATAAATGTTATGCCATTATGCGTATGTAAGCATATTTTTCTAACTTGTAATAGAACCAAGCACTCTGGTCGGTGGGGTCAGTGAACAATGCATTGTACACCAGGTCAACCTCTTCTCTTACTCGCTCCTCGCCCAACACGTCACAGTCAATCACGCCTAGAACAGAATCAAAATGTCCAAACTTGAATTTGAAACGAACAGGAGGGGGGAATCATTGAGCGCAAAGAAGTTCCATTGAGCAGTGGACAGTTGGTTTTTCTTCGCTCACTTCCAACACGGAAAAAAATCAAACAATTCATTTCCATTCATACTTAAACTTTTAACTCAACTTGAGTAACTTTCCATATCTTTTCAAAATCGTTGTTCAAAGAACAAAAAAAAGAAAAGCCCACATTCGACAGTCCCCGAAGTAACCGGCATTCACCTAGTTCCGACAGTCAATAAACTCGGTTTTTTTTCTCAAATCTAATCTATGACTTCCCCGGGTTTTTTGGAAAAAAAACTAGCATATTAGTTATCATAATTTTTAGTGGCCCGAGTCGTCAGATCGTGATTAAAACTATTAATTACTGAAGCGAAGGAAAATAAGTACGAAAACCGTAGAAAGATGAAACGCGAGGAAAGACAGGAAAGACAAATAGCAAAGACAGTTCGGCGTCCTTTTACGAGCATCCTCGGAAAACTAAACAAAAAACGCATAAACATGCAAATGATGGTGTCTCATTCTTTAACCCCACGTTATTAAACCCCCTATGATTACACTACCTACTTCATAACCTCGTAACACGATAACCACACAACAATTTCACCCCATTTAACACGGATATTTTGATCCAAATTAAGTCCTGATACAACCATAAGAGTATTCCAATTGATGTACTAATTGAGGCCATTAGTTGGCTGACAGAACTTTCGAAGTCATTCCCAAAATATTTCACCAACTTTACTCTATAATCTATACTTTACTCTATATCAACTTTACTCTATAACTCTATACTCTATTGTCAGTCATTCAGAAATAGCCCCGCTTGCAAGTATGCGTTCCTACCAATAAAAAAGGAAAACTTACCACCGTTTCTTAGAAGTCCTAACAAAACTAGCCCCTGAGAATAGATCTGAAAAAATTTTACCGGATTTTGAGTTGAAGGGCTGCTATTGAAGTATTTCAGAAAAATTTCCCAGCTTCCAAGCTGTCGGGATGTTTCTTTCATCTTTCACACTTATATGATAATCCAGTTTGGCAAAAAGACGCTTCCGTCGAAAAATTAATTTTCTATGACGCCTCGAGTGAGCAACAATCAAGTCAAAAACTGAAAAAAAAAAATAATGTGCGTTTCTTTCGCGCTAGGGCAAACTTAAGCTAACTATTTGTTCTTTGAATAAAATTTAAATTCTTTTTTTCAACTTTTTTGAGAAAAAACGTCTCCTTGCAGCCTCCCAGAGACGTTGAAAAACGTACTGTCTCGACTCGTATTTGCAAAATGCTGTCTCTAGCAGATTCATCCCGAAACGATCGATCCCTTGAGGGACGCTAGATTGGGAATAGGGGCTGAAAAACCCCTTAGACATTGCATTGCATGCCGACAGTTCACAAAACTGAGAACCTTTAGATGGTTAGAGAAACTTAAGTTTTACTTTAAAATGATCGGTATTTGAATACAGCTTAGCTTCGATCAATTAACCTATCATAGGCAGAAATATTTTATACAAAGGCCAAGCGGAGTTTTGCAATACTTGCACTGCAAAAACACATTGCGCTACAAAATAGTGAATAACAAAAGGCAGAAGTCAAAAAAAAATTGTTGAAAAAATTACTTGAAAAAACAATTTGACAAAAGTTGAAAAATGATAGCTACAAAAACTTTATACTTCAATCAGATGAAATTCAGAAACCATCCAAAAAATTAGAAACCGTTTAGCAAGCTGCAACAGAGGCGACAAATTTTGGGTCAAACCTGTTGAGCCGAAAACAAAAAACTGTTGTCATAAAAAACTTCATTGAATTTGTAAGTTTTTGCGTTCCATCCTGGCTGAAATTTCCCTCGAGATTACGCAAATAAAGCTGCCTATGTCGATATAACAAACTGGAACTATTTAAACATTTAAAAAAAAACGAAAAAAACTTAAAGTCAGACATGGTATATTTACAAAGTTGCAAAGTTTCAGTTATAGTAAAAAAAGCGTTTACGATGGAACAAAACCCATGCTTTCAAAAACAAACCATTAAAACCCAACAAGATTTGAAAAAAGGCGTTTAAAAACGAAAATTGAACCAACAGGAACTAGAACAAAAACCAGCAACCTGACAGGCTGGAACTAATTAATGGCTAAATGGTAGTACTTCGATTTTAATTTTCAAAAATTGAGCATGTCAGATGAAAAATTCTCTAGAATGGATCCTCTAGACGTGATGATCCTGTTTACGGGAAAAAAGTCTAGTACCCGATTGCAAGGGTAAAGATCAATCTGATCATTTTCGGTTTCTATTTTGGATAAAGCCGGCCGGATTAGTTTTCAAGTTCATATCAAAATCTAGACTATCGACAAGATCATTTCCGTTCCAATCTAAACCGCATTTGTCAGCGTGCCTGTTATTTCGTTTTGTTTTACAACATTTTTTGGAATTGAAGCTTTGACTGTTACCGACGTTGTGGTTCCGAATTCCTGTCAAGTAACTTCCACTTTGATTCGAACAATTGGTATTAAAAAGGGAATAAATTGTAGTGGGGTTATCTAAATCTGGGTTTTATGAGAAGGGGTTAAGAAAAAGGGGTTAAAAACGCGGGGTGATAAGCGTGAGAACCAGTAAATGCGCCTGTAAAAGTTTATTAAGTACATTTGACAACAGTTTTCCACAAAAAATCCATACAATTTTTATTCCCAAGAAGGCGCTAGAAAGTTTATCGATAAATAATTTGACTTGAAAAAAACTGAGCCATAGCTAGCTTTATTAGTTAAATTATAAGCCAACTACAAGTCTGCTCGCTCGTAACTGGACAAAAAATCAACACCTTCAAACCCGTTTTCGACACTGAGTTGCATTTAAAAAATATCTATGTCGTTCAATATCTATGGCTGAAATTTATGTCGTTCAAATCATTACTGAAAAGGCTTAAATAATACATACCACTTGACCCACTCTGATTATGATTTGTGCTACGTGATTAAGCGAGGAAATAGTAAACGCACGAAATCAAAACTTCTCCCCATTTTAAATGGTCAGAACAAGTAGAATCTCCGGTTGCCGTGCAATTAGCACAGTATGTTCCAACCAAATTCTTGAAAAAAGAATGTAATGTTGAGAGAAAAGCCTCGCACTGAGGCAAAGTCGACAGTAATATCAAATAGGCAAATTCTACAAACAGTTTTTGTCAAAAAAACTTTAGAAAAACAAAAAAAAAACAATTTTTGCAGAAATGTTTCGAATTTTTGAAGTGTTTAGTCCCAAGATGGCGCTTTAAAAAATTCAGAAACTATTTTAATGGATTAAAACTACACCTTCGCAGATTAAAAAAATATTCGCGGCTTGTCCTTTTTTAACAAGTCTACTCGCTCGAAAATGAACCAAAAATACAACATTATACGCTCGAAAGTCATACCAAAAATCATAACTTTCCAACCTGTTTTTCTCGATACTGAGACAACTTATGGAAAACTTTTTATCATGTCGGTTCAATCACGACCCATTCCGATGATTATTTGAGGCACCTGGTTTTGCGTTGAAAAAAAGGCCTGCTCGTTCACTTCCCTCGAAATTAGAACAAAAATAAAAATTTTCAAATCACTTTTTCGACACAGATAACGTTGTGAATTAAGGACTGAAAAAAACTTTAGTATCGTATATCACTTGACTCATTCCGCTGATTAATTGTGGTACCTGATTTCCAGCGAAAAAAAACTACAAACAAAGTCGAATACAAAGCAAAAGTCGAAGACAAAGCAAAAAGAATAGAATTTCATAAGTTACCATATTTAAAGATCGGAGCAAAATCTCGCTAAAATGCTAATTCAGTCACAGTTTTTTACGAACTCCGCCTAAGCGTAGGAAAAAAGTTAAAAATCCCCACAAAAAGACAGTGCCAGCCGCAGCAAAATGCCATGGAAAGCAAAAACTAAAAAAAAAAAGGCATAAGCGAAAAAAGCAACTCTACTTTAATATTTAGCAAAAATAATTAAAATTGCCAAGCAATGACACGCAAAGCGTCAATATACAGTAGGAGCACTTGGAAAAAACAACATTTTACAAAGAGATATTGCAATGTCAAATAGCAATTCAAAACAATTTTTAAGATCGTTCGAATCACGAATGAAAATGCTTTAACATGATATATGACTAAATCCATTCATGTGCAAATTTATGGAACCCGCTTTTGCGTGGAAAACAAAATGAGCCTGTTTGCTCGCTTTATTCGCTCGAATAAAGCAAAAAAAATCAAAAATTTGAAAACAGGTTATCTTGACACTGAGACTACTTTTTAAACAATTTTATGTCGTTCAAATTACGACTGAAAGAACTTAAATATCATATATCACTCGACTCATTCCGATGATTATTTGTGGTACCTGATTTTACGTGAAAAAAAAAAATTAAAAAATTTTTAAATCCAAAAACAGATTTCTACCCATTTTAAAAGATCGGAACAAAAACTAGCGAAATTGCGAAGTCAGTTATGAGATTGTTTTTATGAACTTCGCTGACAAAACTAAGCTGTTTTAAAGGAATACCACAGCATCATAGAATTTGCCTTGGTGTTGCAAATAAAAATAGTTCGAAAGCTGCAAAAAAACACAAAGTCAGCTACAGAAAATGAGATAAAAAGTAAGAACAAAGAAAAACCAAGATAAAAATAACAGGCAAAAGTTTTTAAAAAGGCAACTTAACTTATATACTTATCGGAGAAACTTCAAAAAGCTTGGCACGGACACGCAAAAGATCAATATAATGTTGGATCACTTGACAAAGAGACAACAAAATTTTACAAAGCGAACTTGCAACGTCAGAGTAATCCAAAACAATTTTTTAAATCAAGATCTCGTCAAAATTCTGTTTTACGCGATGCGTCACAAATCACAAAAACTTTCTTCAAGTGAACAGACTTAAGTAAAAACCATTAAGGAACTAAATTTACTCTTAATATAAGTATCAGCAAAGTTCTCGAAAGCTAACTTGTGTCAGAAGAACTAAATTTAACAAAAAAATTTCTGAAACAAAAACAGCCAACAGAGAGTTGAAAAAAGAGTCATGAACAAGAAAAAGTTATGCTAAAAACTTTTCTGATTACACTAAGCCAATTCAAATAAACTGGATCAAAAAGTAAAATTATTATTCCGCTGTGAAATCTGAAAATTAAAATCCACTATCAGAACTAGAAGTCGACACGTTTTTCGTGACAAAAGTCATTTTTGCTGTTCACTTGTAGAGTTTGCCTTCCTTTGAAAAAAACGATATGGACTGAACTTAAAGCCGCGAGAAATCAAATTTGAGCGTACACAAATTTTAGACTTATTCCTAAAAAAAATCGGCAATATCAAAGTATTTACTACGTTCAAGACTCTTAATGACCTCAATCAAATTCGACTTCACAAATGAACCAATAGAAACAATAAAAAGATGCAAAATATTATATAAAATAGTTATATTAAAATAATTAACAATGTAAGCATCTTACGTTCGTTTCCACACAACAACTTTGTGCGGTAGTGCCAAGATGAGAAATTGGAGAAGTTGTCCTCTATTTTGGAGGTGGTAAACTGCAGCTCCAACTCCTAAACAGGTCAAACTTTTTCACATAGAGGCAAAACTGAGCTTCGCACAACTTGCGATACAAAAGTGAATGACTATAACTACAATCAAATGAAAAGAAACAAAAATTAAAAAAAATAACTTTCAAAAAATCGTTTTTGTCATTATAAACAATGAAGATGCAAAAGCCAAAAACACCCTGAACAAAATTACCTACACCATTAAAAACTCTTCAAAGGACTTTCGGAAAGCTAGAAAAAAGCCGAACTTTCAAAAAGTCGTTTCTGAGAGAACTAAACCGGTAAAAATAAGCAGAGACACCTAAATAAAAAAAAAAGCCGAAAACTTTCAATTTGCAAAAAAAACAGGTCCAGACTGGATTGGAACTCCCGGGCTCTATCGTCTCAAGCCTGAGTGTTACAGTAAATTGGAAGAAAGCTGAATTTTGGGGAAAAAATGGGCTACGGGAATCAAGTCGACAAAATAAACAGACGAACGACAAAATAAACAGACGAACGATAGTCCGGAAAAGCACAGAAACTAGTTTGCAAAAAACCGGTCTCGACTGCATTCCAACCATTAAAACCTTTGCCGTCTCAAGCAGGTGTGTTACCTCTAAGCAAGATGGGCCGATTTATTTTTTAAAATTGAATTTATAATAAAGCAAGTAGATGAAAGAGTCCTGAACAAAATTATTTACGGGAAAAATGTTTGGTAACCTATCGCAATACCGTTGCTTATCGGCGGAAGATCAAACTATGCGAACATCCTAGACCATCATAAAATCTTCTCAAAAACAATTTTTGAGACTGGAATTTGAATCTTTTTATCAGATTTTTATTGTTCCGACCATTAGAAAAATGTATTGGGGTGTTTTACTTTTTTCTTTTTCTTTTTGCTTTCCACGCGAAATCAGGTACCACAAAAATGGGAATGAGTCGAGTATATCATATAATATCACTTTCAGTCGTGATTCGAACGACATTTTAAAAATTCCAAAAAGTTGAACCAGGGTCGAGAAAAACAGGTTAACGGTTAACCATTTTAGTCTAAATTCAAGCGAATTGTGCGAGCGAGCAGGCTTAAAGTAGCTTATCTTTGCTTAATTTAGGCCATGAAAAAATTTTTTTTCAAGTAAAGTTGATTCTGAAATTTTTTGTAGCGCCATTTGGGAATTTAAAAAATTATTTGTTTCAATTTTGTTTGATATTTTTTAGTCAATTTTCTACAATAAATTAGTTCAATTTGCCTTTTTACTATGACTTTCTAATATTCCCTAAATCCAGTTTTTCGTTCAGATCGGTTTATCACAACACGCAGAAAAAACGACACTAATTGAAAAGAAAAACTACTTTTTTGTATTTTTTAGACTATGGTCGGACCATTCTGTGTAGTAAAGTACTTGTAAAGTAACCGGGTCTCCGTGTTTTATCTTTTGTATTTATATCTATTATAACAAAGCAAAAAAATTTGAGCTGTCGCCATTTCACGATAGAACCAAAAAAGAGCTAATTATCGAAAAAATACCGATCCTTCAATTACGACACCTAATAAACATTGTAACTCTGTTTAAAAAAATCTTCATATGATGTGCTCGCTAATCTCCGTAGGATGAATTTAACCGAAAAATCAACAATAAATTCGTATTCTCGGTAATACAAAATTCAACGGCAATATTGATGTTATCATTTTATTTATGCAAATTCAAACCTTGCTTCTTCCTGTAATGTGTGGCAACACTACCCTTCTGTAATCCCAACAGTGAAAATTCCTCTCATCCGCCTTCAGGAACTCATCACACAGACGCAGCTCATTCTCCCAATCTGCCTTCCCATCATGATTCATAATAAACTCCCTGTACAGCCAAACTGCGTACGCTTTAGGGTTCTTTTTCAGACACTGCACAGTGAAAACCAACTCTTGGTCCAAAAAAGTGCGAAGTGAAGACTCATCGTCAACCTTTTCGCCATCTTGTTTTACACTTTTGGCCGTGGAAAGTTCTTGTTTCGAGTCAGTTTCAACAACTTCATTTTTTTCATCCGTTTTTGCTTCTGTTTGTTTACCACTCTCCTTTTTAAATTCTAATTTGCTATTTGTTTCCTGTTTAATCTCATACTCTTCAAGCTTTTTCAGTACATATTCCTTTCGTATATTCCAAAACGTATTACATTCGCAGTTGAAAATCAGCAATTGAGTTGTGACGTTGTGTAGTTGGTCGTCCAAGGTCGGCCTGAGCTTGAACACTAAGTCTCTCGCTGCTTGATATTTCAGGAGCTTTTCATGTTCTTCTTTCTTCCGTTCTGCTTCTTTTTGCGCATCTGTTTTCACCTTCAGCCGACCATGCATACCTGAAAATGAAACAGCCTCCTTCACAAATGTTGATGCCACCATAAGCAGTAATTTGTCTCGCATAACGAAGTTCCGACAACAAAATTTTTCCATTAATTAGTCTGAGCGAAACTACATGTAGTCTGTTTTTTTTTACCGGGAAAACTAAATAAAATCTGGAAAAAAGTGATCCGGAAAAACTGCATAGCTTATATTTGGTCCACCATTCGATCATTTCTGGCATTAGAATAGTTGAGGTACAAGAAAGCCCTGAAAACACCCGCAAACAGCAGAACTTTCTAACACTTCAATAGCTGGTTGCTTTTTATTTCAAGTTAGTTTATAAAGTTCTAATTGCATTTCAATGTGCAATATCAGGCACTATTTTTTAGTTTCAAAGCACAAATGTTTCTAATTTATAAGTTGATGGCCATGATGGGCATTAATTGATGGCCATGATTCGACGGATTCTTGATTATTTATATAACTTTCCTTCTTCTACTTCCTCGTACAGAATGACGTCTCATCTCTTCCGTGGACAGAAAAGCCCGTGATACAAAGTCCGCTCGCAATAAGACGGACACTTGAATGTTCTCTCATCACAAAACCTTGACTGTCATATGTCGACGATGACAAACACATCACACATACCAGTGTTCTCATGCACTTGTAGGTTGGAGTAAGTTATAGCCTTCACTTCAGTGCCCTGAAAAAAAATGTTTGTTGAAAAAAATATATCACCGTATAATCAATGCGCACCGGTAACAAGACCACTATTGCTCCCACAGAGTGAGGGAAGAAACTATAGTGTGGGGTAACTAGCAGGGCAACATTTTGTAACAAGCGACAGTTCGTAACAAAGCAATGGCAAGTAGCCAACGCTTGCTCCATTTCGTTGAAGAAAATTTGCATGTAGTAAAACAGAAAAATCTTGAAACGAATACATAGTTCCAAAAAATAGCTGTTTTTATTAAATAACTTATAAAATTAGATTAAGATTAGTCCCTCTCAAAGCAGTTAGATAAAACTTTTTTTACTTACTAAAACGACGCAGACGCAAAAAGAGGCATCTATATTATCAGCCGAAAACTTTTAAGCCGAAGTAAATTTTTAAAACTTATACTGAAATCGGAGTTAGTAAATTACAACCAACATACAAAAATAGATTTTCAGTAGGACAGGCATTTCAAAATGCAGGCATGCTCAAAATAAGTCGAAAAAACAGATGGAAAGTTCGTGTTAGTTTAGGAAAGTACAAATGGAAAGAGATGACCACCAATTTCAGTTATCCTGCGAACTAAATTATTTACGGGAAAAGGTCTAGTACCTACCCAATAGCAACACCCTTACATACAGCATTAGTGATTAATATAAAGAGAAAACTAAAGAAGCGATAACAAAGCCGACAATACATCACAAGAAACCCGTTGAGTGGAAAAAACTGTTTTCATAAAAACATGAAAATTCGAAAAAAAACTAAGTATTCCCTCAAAAAATACATAAATCATTAACTTTTCACGCTCATTAAACGACGCAGTAGGAGGCCTATAAGCTAAAATGAAATAAGCTGAAACCCTTCGGGCTAAATGATTAGAAAAAATAAATAATTGCAATTATACCAAATCGAAGTTGGTACATTAACAGCCCACATGAAAAGCAAATTACGAATGAAATGGGCCTCTAAATTGCAGACATGCATTATTAAAATTTACAATATTACAATATTAAATGAACAGTTTAGTATTGATTTCAAATAAATTTCTTGGATTTTGGATAAGTTAATTTGTACAATTTGCTGCATTCAGAGACACGTTGCGTTTAAACTTGAAGTCTTTGTTCAGATAATTAAACTGAACGCGGAATCGAAAAAATAATCAACAATTTTTTTCAGACTAACTGAAAAACATAGCCAAGACAGTTGAAAAAGAGTATAAAAATATACTCACTTGTTTTTGGAAAATAAATCCAACTTTTGAAACTCCGTGAAAAAATCTATGGCCTTAACTCTTTGTTTTTCAAGAACAAGTTTTTATCGATACGTTTTAGATAAAACTAACTCAAAAAAACTGGACCAATGGGTAATTTTTTTTCGTTGAGAAATCTGAAAAATGAAATCCACTGTTGAAGTTGATTGATCAGGCATTTCGTGATTTTTGCACTTTTGCTGTTCAATGGTGAAGTTCGCCTTCCTTTAAACAAATGAAAAGAACTGAAATTTAAAAAATCATAACTTAAACCGCAAAAGATCAAATTTGAGCGTAAGCAATTTTTAGGATTTTTTGCTGAAAAAAAATACAAAAAAAATCATAATAACCTATGTAAGAGTCTTCGTTACGTTCATTGACTCTTAATCAGAAGGCTTGGCTGATTTACAAATTATATCAAGCAGGAGCAAATTTAGGGTGGGCGGACGACTCCCCCTTCTAACTTTCGACCGCATACCCACGCTTTGCTACTATTTTAAGATATTCATTTTTGAGCTACGTATATACACTAACTTTGAGGGTGAACGCACGCCGAAAAAACACAAATTTTTAGTCAAAACTTTCTAAAAAGGGCTTAAAATAACCTGGTTTGGCCTGTTTATTCATAAATTCGCTTGCGGCGCAGAAAATTTTGTCAAAAAAGGGTCTTTATAGTGATTTGGAAGAGCTCAGAACGGACAAAAACCAACTTGATCGAATTTAAAAAAAGTCACCCCCCTCAAGAAAACCTTAGATACGCTCCTGATATGAAGCCCCAGAGAACGCCAGTAGGCCGTATGCTCCGTTTCCAAACGTCCATGACATGGGCCCATGCCAGGTGGCGTTTGAAAGACTCTTAACACGGGCCATTTTCATTTAATGCCTAGTAAATCACAATTTACCGCCTTATGAGAGCTCCGCTATTGTGATAACTAAACTTTCTGCATTATCAAAAATTTGAAATCATTAAAATTAGTATTAATCAATTGGTTTTTGCATCAACGGATGCAAATATTTTCTTCGCTGTTTCATTTAAACCTAAAAGTAAAGCAATGTGTTATTGACTAGCCTTGCTAGCTTACCTGTGGGTGTTTTGCCAAGTCAAAATCCTCTCCTGCAATTGTGAACTTCATCTTTAAGTTCTCCCTGTCGAATTCTTTGATTTCAATTGTCTTTGGGATAAAATACTCGGCTGAAATCACATTTGTACCTGTTTTTCGTCATTATCTAAACACCCAGAAATAACCCCTATGCTCATTATAATACCTTGTGCGCAAAAGGAAAGTAACCAAAACACCAGCTGTTTTGCTCTTGATTGAGAAACGCTGTTGACGTCCAATTAAAACCTAGCATATTCTATATTTGTGAGCAGCTTTGACTTACTGCTTTTTCAGACAATTCAACTAAAATATTCAAAAAATTCAATTGAAAATACTAAACTAATTAACCATAAAAGATTATGTCCTTTTTCGACTACATTTCTATCCTCATATTTTACCCCAATTTCCTTGCTAACTTACCCGATATCAAAACAATCTCATAAAGAGATTTATGAAAAGAAATTCTAGAATTGACAAGAAAATAAAAACAGACAGCAAAACTTAGGAAACAAAGAAACGAGCAACAAACGCAAAACGGAATGAAGTGAAATCCTTTATTTCCGAAGGCTAACTGTGAAAGTAGATCGAAAAAAAAGAAAGAAATAATACCGGAAAAGTGGAAGAGCAGTTCATCTAAAAAGTGGTAGAGTAGGGATCCAATTTCGTCGTCTTCGCCTAAAGTGCCTTCTGCTTCCAAGTCTACAGTTGAGACAATGTCAACTGTGTCCATTTCTGCCATGTACGCAAACATCGCATACGCGCATTGCACAAATGCATCTGAACAGACAATGATTACTTTTGACTTTTTCAAATTCTTATATTATTTCTTTAATGTGATCATTTTGACCAAAAAATTTATAGAGCACACCGATATTTGGCATCCAGAAATATTCGGCCTGTATCAAAAAAGATTAGGTCTAGGTTATGTTCACATTCATTTTTTTCTGCAAAGATGCCTATTATCTTAAACTAAAACCAGACTTTTCAAATTACTTTCTTTTGAAATAATTATACCGAGATGACAAAACGTACCAATTGCATATGACTGAATGGAATTCATAAACTACCTTGTAAGGATGGTGCCCAAGCATGCAACTGTATATCTGCAGTGTGGTCGACATACTCATATCCTACACTAGGTCTATCGGCAGATCCACTAGTTCCCTCTTGATGACTCATCATAGTGGGCATTTCAACACTCTGTCCCATCTCGAATTTGATCACATTTGCATTTTCGCTGTCTCCACAAGCCGACATACCATTAGGCCGACAGGCGTTCTCATTTTCCTCACTACTCATGACTGTCTAAAAAAATTACTTCGCTGAGTCCCAGTGAAAACGAAATGATACGATTGAACATATTGAATGGCAAAGATAGAGTTCTGCTTTAAATGATCCGGACAAAACTAATGAAACTTGGAATTTCAAACAAATTTTTCTCAAATTGAGTTGATTTTAGAAAAATGACGAAGACAAAATTTGCTTCGAATTTAAGCTGAATTAATATGGTGCAATTGATTTTGGATGTTTTCCCCAAAACGATCATTTTTGCTTTTTAGTGACTCAAAAATTACGTCGAAACTTATTGTTCAATTGCTGACAAAACTATATCAGGGCGAGCCTCTCATGTAACCCAACAACACAAATTCGATCTCTGAAAAACATTTCAAGATTATTTTTTTAAATGGTAAATAGTAAAAAAAACTTTTGGTTATCAAACAAAAATATTTTTTTTTTATACAAAATGAAAATTTCATACCCTTCTTCAAATTTGTTGAGATACATAAAAGACTAGCGAGAACACGACAAAAAGCAGCTCTAGAAAATGCAACAAAAATAGAAATAAACTTCGAATTAGCAAAACTTCGGCAAGGTCTAGGATTCGATCTGCGACCTATTGCATCAAGAGATTTTGAGTCTCACGCTCTAACCACTTAGCCACGCACGCTTAACCATCGACAAACACTAGTCACGAAAAAAGCAGCTGGCAACAACTACAAATAGACACAATTTTGCAAGTAATAATTTTAAAAAAAAAAACTGAAGGCATCCGCACTAACTTTGAATGTAACAAATCGCAAAGCATAAAGCCACATTATGTATAAATTATGCATTTCAAAAAATTGCTAGATATTTTGAGTTATAAAAATTCTGAAATCGAGTTGTTATTACTGTCATGTTGTAGAAAACAAATAGCTTCTTTCGGTTCATTTGACGAATTAAAAATACATCAACTGTGCAAACTTAATACTATTCGAATGTCAAAGCACATGCTATCCAAAAGCTGTTAAGTTGCTCCAAAAGTGGCGCCAATATTTGCGAATTAGGTTAGAAAAAAAGGTTCTTAATAATACACTAAGCTGACGCTGGTGTAAACAGGTAGTTTTGGTTGAATTTATCAAAACTAGAAAAAAAAATCAAATTATCGGTTTCGGCGTAAAATTTTGGGCCCGAATGACGCAAAATAAATTGAAGCATACAATTTCTGTAAAAATTCTTCGCAAGTTTTGTCATCTTTAGTTTTTGAATAAAGTCAAATAAATTGGAGAATAACGCGTTTTAAGTTTCGCTTTTTATTCGCTTTGTCCGGATAATTAAAATCAGCACTGTATCTGAATATATACCAGAATTCGAGTATCTTCCACAACAAGTACAATCCATTTTGAAAGATGATCGCATGGGCTAAATGGATTCGATCCATGGTACGATACCTGCTTTGATACAAAAAGTTCCTGTATTTGAAACATGAACATAAAATATGACACAAAAGCAATGCAGAGCTTCGCACCATTTGCGATACCACAAAGAAACGGCATTGCAAGCTAGCAAACAGGGCAAAATTACGATAAAACCACAATTTAAAACATAGGCGCTACGCGCAATACACCGAAGGCATAGAAACTGAAGCAAAAACCAAACAACTTGAACAACTAATAATTGAAGAATAACAGTTCTAGAACAAAAAATCGTACTAATACATGTATACACCAAAATTTTCCTATATCGAGAAAGAGCCTGAAATAACAGTTCTAGAACTAAAAATCGTACTAACACATTTATAGGTTAAATTTTTGATATATCAACGAAGATCATAAAATAACACTTCTAGAACTAAAAATCGTACTAACACATGTATACACCAAAATTTTACTATATTGACAAAGGGCCTGAAATAACAGTTCGTGAGCTAAAAATCGTACGAACACATGTATACACCAAAATTTTGCTATATTGGCAAAGATGATGAAATAACAGTTCGAGAGCTAAAAATCGTACTAACACATGTATACGTCAAATTTTTGCTATATTGACAAAGATCATGGAATAACAGTTCTAGAGCTAAAAATCGTACTAACACATGTATACACCAAAATTTTGCTATATTGACAAAGATCATGGAATAACAGTTCGAGAACTAAAAATGGTACTAACACATGTATACAATAAAATTTTGATATATTGACAAAGATCATGAAATAACAGTTCGAGAACTAAAAATCGTAATAACACATGTATAGGTTAAATTTTTGATATATCAACGAAGATCATAAAATAACACTTCTAGAACTAAAAATCGTACTAACACATTTATACGTCAAATTTTTGCTATATTGATAAAGATCATGGAATAACAGTTCTAGAGCTAAAAATCGTACTAACACATGTATACACCAAAATACACATACATAAATAATAAAAGCAAAACTAAATGAAAGAAAGAATAATTAAATAAATATAGAAATAAATATCAACAAATAAACAAAACACACCTGATAAATAAATAAGCAATAAAAAAATAAATCAATACATAAATAAATAAATAAATACATAAATGAATACATAAATAAATAAATATATAAATAAATAAAAGCAAAAGTGAAATGTACAAATAATTAAATAGACATGAAAAAATATATATGAACAAATAACCAAACAAACAGACCCATAATATAAATAAATGAAAATAAATAAATGAAATAACGCAGAAATAATAAAAGCGCAGAAATAATAAAAGCAAAACTAAATGAAAGAAAGAATAATTAAATAAATATAGAAATAAATATCAACAAATAAACAAAACACACCTGATAAATAAATAAGCAATAAAAAAATAAATCAATACATAAATAAACAAATAAATACATAAATAAATACATAAATAAATAAATAAATAAATAAATAAAAGCAAAAGTGAAATGTACAATTAATTAAATAGACATGAAAAAATATATATGAACAAATAATCAAACAAACAGACCCATAATATAAATAAATGAAAATAAATAAATTAAATAAATACACACGCAGAAATAATAAAAGCAAAACTAAATGAAAGAAAGAATAATTAAATAAATAAACAAAACACGTGATAAAAATAAACAAAAATAAATATGTACATACATAAATTATAAATAAATATAAGCAAACTAAACATAATTAAATAAATAGAAGAACAGATAATTAAATAAATAAAGATGAACAAATAAAGAAACAAACATACGCAATCACGTGACATAGCGCGATATAGTCCAGCCCACATGATAATTGATAACTGTGGACGTTATTTGTCGACACTTGACAACAGACAACATTTAAAAAAAAACCCCGTTACACGATACCATAACACCTTGACTAAAGTCTTCGGTGTAAAAAGGCGTATTCGTTAGCTCAGTATGCCAGAGATTTTTTAAGAACCAAGGTACTATTAAGAGATGAGTCCTGTGAACAAGGTTGTGTACGAGAAAAAAGTCTATTACCCGGTTGCAAAAATATTGCTATTCGCAGGGGGATTAAAAGAGTAAAACCCCGCACGCGCAAAAATTATTTCGATAAAAAGTGAAACAAAAAAAAAACTTTCGCTCAGATACAAGCGAGGCCAACTATGGCAAAAAATGCAAAGCTGAAAACAGACAAGCAAAATATAGCCAACAGACAGTTGGAAAAGAGCCATGAAAGCAAGGAAATGGAAAAAACTGACTTGTTTTTTTTTAAAAACTTCAAACTTTGAATTTCAAAGAATAAATTCAATAGACTTGAAGCTCTTTGAATTTCGAGAACAATTGATGATGGGCATTTTTTTGATAAAAAACTAACCCAATTTGAGAAGACTGGGTCAATAGTTCTGGGATCAAGAAGTTTATTCCGCTGAAAAATCTGTAATTAAACACCATTTTCGAAACTAGAAGTCGATCCCGTGTTTCGTGACCTTTAAACTTTTGCTGTTCGATAGTGGAGTTTGCCTTCCTTTTAACAAAAGAAATGAGCTGAACTTGAAAATAAATCAAAAGTCAAACCGCCAATATTTAAATTTGAGCGTGAACAAATTTTAAGAATTTTTCCTGAAAAAAAATCACCACGACCGATATAAAAGTATTCACTACGTTCATGACTCTTAACAAGTTCAGCGTTCTAAATCAAGAGGACAAATAAAAATTAATCAGGGTTGCCATAAGATTTTAAAAATGTACCATGACCTCAATGACACTCTATAACAAAGTTCAGTTTTTCTCCAGCACATTTTACTTGTATTAATAATCAATTAAATCGCAAACGAAAAACAACGCTGACATAAAGTTGGCAGACAAAATCTCAAACTCAATTTATGTTGCTTCCGTTCGCTTTAGGAAAAACAAGCATCCCCAAAAACCACGACATACCAAACGCCCGACAACAAACTGGAAATTAACTTGCTTCGGAACTTCAGAGCTCTAACAAATTCAAAAATATATTTCCCATGAAATCTTTGACGCATCTTAATAAGCAGTGACATAAACAAAAAAGTTATGAAAATGTGCCAAATCTGTTTAAAAAGCGTTGCTGCCAATTATGATGCTTCTAAAATCGATTTATTGTAACACGAGGAAAGGGAAGTTAAAACTTCCTTTTTTTAAATCTCTTTAAAACGCCTAAAAACTGGAATCAAAAAATTTGAATTTCTACATAAAACAATAAATCTCTATTTTTAATGAAAGCCGTTTTCATTACTGTAACGAAGCTATTATGATGATCGAAATGATCATTTTGACTTTTACTAAATTATAAAACTAAACAACTTATCTCACAAAAATATGCACCATAGCAGTCCGTAATACTAACTTGATTGATTCTTTGGCAATTAAATTGCCCATTTTTGAAAATGTTCACTGATTCTCAAACAAGCACATAATAAGCACTCAAACAAGCACCACATAACGAGCACTTAATTAAGCATAAAACAATCTCAAAATCGAACGCTTATCCTCGACATTTCGGTTTTGTCAATGACAATATCAAACAATAACACTGCAGCGTCCTACATGCTTCCAAAACGACCATTTTTTATGTCTGAACAGATACGCCCGACTGCTGGTTCGCATTTTGACCGTATTCATCCTCTAGCGCAATTTGCATGAAAATCTGTTCTAATGAAGCTGTATTTACAATACATTCTGCCAACGCGTTTTCGCTTTTCAGTCGGTCAAGCCTCGCGAAAAGAGCACTTAATTTCACTGTTTCTTTCGGTATGTTGAAGAACATGTGTTTATACAATCCGGCTGAAAATGTGTATTGCAACTTCGCTTGCGGAAATATTTCTCTGAATTCAAAATCAGTCAATGGAGATGCCCTTATATCGTTAGTTTCCGCGAAGGTACGAGTAGAAATGCCATGGTAACTTGGAGGAGCGCCGACATCCAAAAGTGTCTGGGAGGTTCCCGGTTCCTGGATACAAGAATCCAGAACATCGTTGTCTTTCTTGGCTTTCCTACTTCTGGTACCCACATCAACATCAGACTCCATTGAAATTTTGTGCACATTTGAACGGGTATCTGTTTCCTCACTGACTTTGATGGTGACGCTGTAGAACTTTCCGTGCTCCTCTTTCAGTGCTTGAGGGGTGTCTTCGCAGAACGATTTTCCTCTCGTCATAATGCAAATGGTGTCCGCTGCACTCTCGCATTCTGAAAAAACCAGACAACTTTCAGTACGGAATATTAAACGCAAATTGTAGAATTCATTACGGTGTCAGGACTATTTGCCCCAAGTCAATTGGCCCTATGCCATCTTGTCCTATACTAACTTGCCCTACATGGCAACTTGTCCTATGCCAACTTGCCCCACATGACATTTTGTGCCATGCCGTTTTATCCCATACTTAACCCTTTTACTTGATTCATTGATGTTCAAATTGAGGACCAGCAAGTGCTAATGTACACTGGACTCGTTTCGAGATAACAAAAGACTCTAGTCGAAAATATTCGAAGCTGACCCAAAAAAAACCATAATTTTTGGTAATTACACGCCAAACTTTGACAATAATCCACAATTAGCGCCTTTGAAACAAAACGAAACACGGCTTTTCTTTCATTTTGCTTCATTGTTTACCATTTCGTTCTTAAACATCCACAAAAATACTTCAACATAAATACTTCAACATAAATACTATGAGTCAACTTACGTGAGGAATATCTCAACGAAATAAACGAACGCTAATTATTGACGGAAACGGTTTCACAAAAAAGTAGACGACAAAAACTACTGAGCACTGGAGATGCGCAAGATACAGTTCACACAAACGCCGCATGCTCGCCGTCACAACAGGAGATGAACTCGTCTCAACAAAAAATTAGCACAGCCACGATGTTAGACCAGGGAAAATTGAGGCAAACCAGATCATGCATCAAATGAAAAAAGAGGCCAGGCAGCAAATTGAACCTGTTAATAGTAGTAAATTGCCACTTGTTTCCAGGAAGTAACTGATGAGAAAGCTGTTCAATTATCCTTGCCCAGTCGTGCAGCAATAAACAGGACTCTTAACCGCCAGACACAGAACTTGGTCCCGTCCTTGCCAATCATTAAAAACAGGCATTTCATAATTCCGACGGAATATTCTGATTTCTGTTTATTCGACAGTGGAGTTATGTATCCAGAGCGAATTTTGATTTTCCTTGATCGAGATAATGTTCATGCCCTCCGAGTTCACAATTCTCTTTGGCTTTGCGACGGTACATTCAAAACTTGCCCAATGCAATTTTACCAGCTTGATACCATTCATATTCAAATCGGTGGATTTTACCCACCATGCCTTTATGCTCTACTGTCTAACAAAACTGAACAAACGTACTCAAAATTCCTGAAAGCCATCACCTCTGTCTCTGATAACGCGCAACCATCGAGGATCCTTCTAGATTTGGAACGAGCTGCCGTTAACGCTTTTACAAGTGCGTTTCCAGAGTCTTCAATCAAAGGCTGTTACTTTCACCTCTGCCAGGCCTTTTTACGAAAAATTAACGAGCTAGGCTTAAAGAAAGCCTATGAAAACAACTGCGAGCTAAGCTTGGCACTGCGTTTAATACCCGCTCTCAGTTTTGTTCCAACTGATTTAGTGGAACAATCGTTCGAGAGCGTCATTGAGGAGATTGAGCATGTGGTGGATAGATAAGATCTTGAGCAAAGCTTGTCAGATAAAATTGACGAACTTGCCTCATACTTTCAGAGAAGTTATATAAAGGGCGAAACAATCGGGCGAAACAATAGGGCGAAACAGCAGGCAACCGTTATTCCCATTGAGTCTCTGGAACCATTCCCAAGAAGCAGCGGAAGGCTTGATACGAACGACAAACGCCGTTTAAGGTTGGCATCTTGGAGTGACAGCATTATTTCAAGGGAGCCACCCAAGCCTCTACACTTTCTTGAATAAGATTCAAATGGACTCAGCAAACCAGAAGTTCAACATTTTGAAGGCTATGGGGGGAACACAGAATCAAGGGCGGAAGAAATATCGGGACATTCATGAAAAAATCCAAAACATTTCTAGTAATTTCAACACAGACCATGTTGTTGACTATTTATATGCACTAGCTCATTTAACTCTTTCGTAATTTTTAAATTGTCGGCATAATTTCCACTTAATTGTCGGCATTTTTTTGCATTTTTAATTGATTTTTAAAAAATCAACACTTTTTTTAACTTATAGCCATCGTACAGGGTCCAAATTTTGAGAGATTATAAAGGCCAATACTGCAATAATTTTGCTCTTTTTCTCACCCCGCCCCCTATTCTGGGTAACCCAGTATAGGGGGGTTTAAGGGGCGAGGCAGCACCTGCGGTTTTCCATTTCATCGATTACATTCTAAAATTTTTGACTTCTTCAAGTTTTGAACTCTTGACTAAGAGTGTTGTGCACTATTAACTAAGCTATAGAAGCTTACAAAATCAGCAATCAATCTTTTGAAATTATTAACTCGACATGAAAATTGCATTGAAATTTTGCCGCTTTCATTTTCATGCATGCTTTGAACTCATTTTGATTCAGCGCATGTTTAAATGATTCCGCATTTTGTTTCAAGCTTAATTGTTCACGAAAAAGTCTTTCATCTTTATGCCGTGGGCTAACAACAACAACAACAGGAAAAATGTCCCTCTGCATAATTGTTGAGACTTACAAGGCGTTTTTTTAGCACAGGCACTCGCGTTGAATAGAAAATATAATTGGTTGATCCAAATTTTACACAGAAGCGAAGCTGAGCTAGCTTTGCACCATTTGCGATACAAAAATGAATGACTATGATTAAAAGCCTTTCAAAGCCAAAATATCGGAACCAAAATTACCTATACCATTAAAAATTTTACAAGGAGCTTTCGGATTGCTAGAAAGAAGCCGAACCTCGAACCTTCAAAAAATTCCTTGCTGCGGGAACTAAATCGAAAAAAATGAGCAGACAGACAATGATCTAAAAAACCCGAAATTGTTTGATTTTTATGTTAAAAAAAGCAGGAAGGTCGAAGTTTCATTCAGGTCGGATCTAGGTTTTTCTCGAGGCTAATTTTCAAAATATTATGTCTACCTTTTTTTAGGTGTGGCACAACGATTTTCTGAGCTCTCCCAGAGCACTAAAAAGATCCTGTTTTCGCCAAAATTTATGCCCCCCAGGCAAAGTTTTGAAAAAACATGCCAAAAGGCGTTTTGAGGCACTTTTTGGAAAATTTTGACCCAAAAAACGCTGTTTTTCGGCGCGCGCTTTCCCCTCAAAATTAATAAATACTAGCGCCGAATGCGCCTTTAGAAAAATTTTAGGGTCCGCCAGCCAAACATGGAGAACTCAAAATAGTTCAAAGGGCCTTTGGGTCGGCTAGGTGTTGAATCCCTGATGGGGGGCATCCGCCTAACCCCCCCCCCCTAAATCCGCCCATAGTTTCATTCAAACTGAAGATATTAAAAGCAGTGTTAGCCAGCAGAGCTCTGATTATTCTTACCTTCCATTGTATGCGAACTTATTATCACGGTTGATCCGTTGCTTTTAGCTGCTTTGATCAGTCGGCCGAAACTCAGTCTCGTTATCGGGTCAACGCCTGAAATCATGAACAATCAACGTCAGCTTAATTTAATTTCCTTTTAATATGTTCATCACCAAACTGATGCTGCCATCCCTTTTGGAATTTCTTAGACTTTGTTTGTGAATACCGCAGAGGATCAATCAAAGAACTCATTATATCAAGTAGTTAAGATTACCTGTAGTGCTTTCGTCCAGAATAACCAACTTCGGGAACCCAATGAATGCGACCATAGTTGAAACTTTCCTTTTAGTACCACCACTGCATCCGCTCAGAAACTTATTCAGGTGCGATTCAACGTCTAGAACCTTCGCCATAAACTGCATTTGCCTTATTACTTCGTCTTCCGACAATCCACGAAGTGTCCCGAACAGGGAAACTATCGTTTTAGCCCTCAAATATCCAGGGCATTTATCCAATTGCGAACAGTACCCTAGATCTTTCATAACGCCCCAGGGATTCGAAGAAACCGATGTTCCAAAGACACAAACTTGGCCTTTTTGTAGCCTGATTCCGCCTGTTAAAACTTCGAACATGGTACTTTTCCCAGCACCGTTCACTCCTAATAGCGCGTAGCACTCGCCTTCTTTAACGCGCATGTTCATTCCTTGTAGCGCTTTGCAGCTTTTCCGGAGGATGATTCGAATTGGATTTAGACCGTAGTATGTGTGATGCACCTTTGTAACCTCGACTGCTGTGTCATGTTGCGTGACCGAAATTAGACGATTCAGTCCAAGTTTTTCGGCAACTAGATTCACCAAAACTCGGATTATCAGCGACTCAATTAAAACAACCAACGTCAGGTAACAGGTCAATTGTGCTAGCCAGCTATAAAGCGCATCTTTATTACTTAGCTGGTCGAAAGAATTCAAAAAACCAATGCCCCCCGTTGGTATTAGATATCCAGGGTAAGTTAGCAGATAAAACCATTTTGACTGATCATTCAAAGTGGTCCTTATCTCTTTTCTGATGTAAATTTGACTGTAAATAACGTATACAATCAACGTTAAGCTCAGTTGGACCAAAACTGAGTTGAAGATTTTCGCGATTAAAACAGCGAAACTCACAAAAGCCAAGCAGAAAAGAACAATAAGTCCCAAGGAACCGTACGATGGTATCGTTTTCGAATAAAGACTGAAGTGTCGTTCTTCTGTAGTAACTACTATAGCTGCGAAAAATGCAAACGCCAGAAGAAATAGGCCAGCAACGCGAACAGCCAGAGAGAACAGGGGAAACGCCCCGTTTGCTCTTAGGAACGGTGAGAGGTTCTGCTCGTTTCTCCTAGACTCCGTTCTAATTATAAAGAACAGCAAAAACATGTACAAAACTGGCGCAAAGTAGTAAAAAATAGCGGACCGGCAAAGATTCTTTCCGTTTTCGTCTAAGCCTTCACCCATATCAACATCACCATTTCCGGTTTCATTGTAGAAAAAATCAGCGGCAATGTTCAAACTTTCAACTGTTTTGTTCGAAGAATATATCTGAATTAGTAACGTAATACACATAAGAGCACTTGAGGAAAAATGCGAATTGACTAGACAGTCGAATGTTCGGTGACTGTCGTTAAACTTGAGAAAAAACGGGTACGTATTGAAGACTTCGGTCGGGTGAATTTTGTACCGACTCATAACTTCTTCCTCAGATACATTTTTAAGCAGCTCAATTTTTGATCTTTCCAGAATTACGCCAATTTTTGAAACTTGATCATCAGGTGCTTCGCCAAATAATACAATTTTCGGATTTGAATCTAAAGTGAACGGACTTACAGTTATATTTCCGTTTTTCAAAGCATTGCCCGACGATTCGAACCCGTCGTCCAATAAACACAGCATCATTAAAATCTGCGGCAAAAGGAAGAAAGCGATTGAAAATGAAATGAGGAACTTGAAGTTCTGAATGAAAATTCGCAGCAAATCAACCAAAACTGCGAAGCGCAGTTGCGAGTAAGCCCAGTTCAAATTTTTATTCGATACTCCCAGAAATTTACTTTTCAGTTGAAATCCGTCACTATTTCTCGTATCAACCTTATCGGGTTCACGTAAATCGTCATTATCATCATTTTCACGACAACTGGAGGACGACCTATCACAAACTGCCGGGCTGGTTGATAACGACACGAAGACATTTTCGAGAGTAGCCGCGTTGAAACTACACTCAATTTTCCGACTATCTAGTTCGTCCAAAATCATTGGAAGACAGCTTGAATATTCTGTCGCAATTTGAAAACAAGCTTGATCCTCTTTGACTGGAAACTGCGCATTGCTACAAAATTTTTGAACAATTTCTTTGACTATGCTTGCAAACTTTCGTGCGTAAAAGAATGTATAGCCAACTCCGAATAAAGATTTAAGATACGAAGAACTTCCAATGGCTCTTAAAAACCCATCAGATATGACAGCAATTCTTTGAGACAAAACGTCGGCTTCTTGCATGAAATGCGTGCACAAAATTACAGCTTGATTCGGGTTTTGTTTTTGTTGAGTCTGAAAAAATGTCCACAAGGTTTTTCTTGTTGCCGCGTCAACTGCCGAAGTCGGCTCGTCTAGAATAATAAGTGGCGAGTTAGCAGCATAGGCCATTGCAATACAAACTCTTCGCTTCTGTCCTCCGGAAAGATTTCTTGGTTTTTGACCAGCCTTATCGGCCAAACCCAAAATGTCCAGCAACCTACTACATCTTTGCTTATCGTACTTGGCGCCTTTCAATGAGCACATTAATTGCAAGTGCTCCAAAACAGTCAGTCGGTAAAAGAATCTATCATCTTGCGGACAGAAAGACAATTTGGACAAAGCCGCTTTTCTGTTTTCTTTCAAATCGATTCCACAAATTTTCACACTTCCCGCAGACGCCGAATGAAATCCAGAAATTATATTCATAGTTGTCGATTTGCCCGCTCCGTTTTTGCCCAACAAACCCACAATTTCCCCCTCGTATATTGAAAACGAAACGTCTGTTATAGCTTGGAATCCATTCGGATATTTCATCGACAATCTGTTCACTTCGACAATTGCGCGTTTCTTAGAATCCATTTCACATTCCTCGTGCACTTCTCTGAAATTGATCTGAGAGTTGTTCGCTTTTCGTTTGAATAATCGGCTCAGAATTGATTCGGCCAATGATTCAAAGTCCACAAGGAACAACAAAGACGCAAGCATCGATAGCATCAACATTGTAGCGAACGTTTCCAAGGTATTCCCGAAGAAGTTCTGCTGTGGCACGTTAAAGTAACTGCCAAGCGTTGAAAAAGTTACTCCAAGTTTGGAGAACTCTGCCGATTGAATTAGTAAAAACATGTTTTTAGCTTGCGCAATAGGATGTAGAAGAATCACCATTCTTACCACTTTTGATGAAGGGTAAGGTATCCTATCTTGCAGTTCGCTCCACAAAAACAAAACAAGCCAGACAAAAATCATTTGGAAAATTGCGAGCAAAAACGTCAGACATCCTTTCACAAACTTAGATGAAATCAGCGCAAAAATTGCAGTTACAAAAAAGACAAATGAGTAGCAAAACCAAAGTAACACGACGCTTGAGGCCATGCTTTGAATCTGAGGTGCTAGCTGTACGAAATTGATAGCTGACCAGAACATTGCTTGAGCGATTATTGCGAGGTACCACGATATCATTTGCTCCGAGTTCGAAACTCCTAGAGACCAGAGAAGCTCATCTGTTTTTCTCTGTCTATCTTGGTACAATTCCGAAAGACATATACAGTAGAACAGAAACACACAGAAACTAAAAGTGTCAATACTGGTGAATACGTATCTCGAGTCGATGTATTTTTTGAAAGGGTAACTGAAGGTAATTTGAGTTGAAATTGGTGTGGCCAGCCGACAAAGTAGCCGAGAAGCTGACGCAACTTCGATGGGGACATCTCGCTGGTTTATGAATGTCTTAGTTCTAAAACGAAACAAGGATAGCCAGTTCCAGTGCGAGTAGCACAAAATGCTTTGACCACAATAAAAAAAATTCAAAACTCAAATACCATGAAAATTATCCAAGATTTCCTTCTATTTTTTCTAGAACGAGCGATTGAATTGGGTGAAAAAGTGCAGAAATGAGTGCTAATTAATGTAAAAGTGAAAACGCCGTGCAAGCTATAAAAGACAGCAATGCATAGAAAACTTTGAACTGTAAAAATTCCAAGTTTTTACACCCCACTCCTTCTGAATCATAAAAGCATTAAAACCTTTTTTTTTCATTTTAAACGAACGACCGTACAAGAGGTAGCTATGAGGTAGAGTCCATAATTAGGGTGGCCACGGTATCCAAAAAAAATGCTGACACTTACACTGGCACTGATCAAAATTAATACCTGGCGGCACTGATATTTTGCAAAAAAAAAATCTTTACTTCTCTTTTTGACACAGCATAATTAAAAACAGTAAATATTTCAAAAATTATGTGCGGCACAAGGTTTCAAAAGATAAATTTTTCAGACCATTGTTTTTAAAAAGTAATTTTATCTCAGAGGACCCCCCCCCCCCCTATCTCTAGATACAAGCGAAAGCACAAAAAACTTTTTACCGTTTAATGCAAAAAATGTCACTAAACAAACTATTTATACCGAAATTTCGAGGCCAAAAACGCTCCAAAGCGAAATAAAAAAAGAAGGGAAATTAAGAAAAATTAAAACAACTTTAATTGAAAATCACATCAATCAATCAAAAGCATTATCATTACAATGAAAATGGTTTACAATACGAGAAAAATTCATTATCTGGCGTGGCGACTATCCCGACAAAACATTAGCGGCAAACAAACAGCCAACAACTTTTTTTAAAGAAACGTTGTTTTTCTGATTACAAACAGCTCATGGCCAGATTGCAATCGAGGACGTAATCGTTATTACTTAACTAAGGGTGCAGGAGAAGCTAAGACATTTGAATTCGCTATCGGTGAAACAGTAAAAAAAAATCTGAAAAAAGAGCATAACAGACGTTTAGCTGTCAAACTGTCGAAAAAAAAATCGATTATACTATGTTTGATGAAGCTTACATCCAAAAATTTACTCAGCGTTCAACTCTTTATAAAAAATCATTCAAATAACTGGAGTAATTGCAAAAAAAAAAATTGGAAAATTAGCGGGCATATACTAAAGCGACCAAATCAAAAATAACGAAGAAAATTCATTTGAAAACTTTTAACAGCAAATATATTTGGGATCTACTTAACAATCACCCCCCCCCCCCCTATTATGAGAACGGGAGATTGTAAAAGATCAAAGATGTTAGTTTATCAACCAATCGAATGCAGAATAATTCGAATTCTCAATACAAACTCTAGTGCTAATTTACTGTATTTATACAAAGGGGTGGAGATTCTTTAAAAGGTAGCATAAGGGGGAGATTGTTAAGTAGATCCTATATTTGAAATTATTCTTTGTGTACACAGAGAAGCTATGTGATTGACTGCTGAATTAAAGCAATCGGAAGTACATGTCGGAAGCTGAAATCTCTGAACAAAAATATTTACGGGAAAAAATCTTGTACCCGGTTGCAACCCTCTTGATATGGTTATAGTAAGAAGTTCAAAAACAGCAAGAATGGATTTGAAGAACGGGTTCTGGAAGATACTCGAGCGAAGCAGTTAATCTGACATCTACTAACAGAGTACTCTGAACATAAACTAAATGAACTGTAGATAGGAGCAGACGAGGAAAGAGTTGTTTCTTTTTTTTTACTTAAAACGACAAACACAAGAAGATAAAATTTATGTGAAACCTATAAAATTGTAGGACTGATATATTATAAGGCATTTATTTGATGCGATAAAGTACGCTATTTGTTTATGCAATTTTTTGCAGTAAATTTACTTGAGTAAAAATCACAAGAAACTTTTAAAGTTGTTTCACCATGATACCCCAAAAAAAATATGATTTCATTTTACTCAATTATTATACAATATAAAATTACCAATATGGCGCGCCCTGAAAAATTTGACAAAAACCACAAAAAAGCTAAGTTTCATACAATGACATGCAAATTAAAACCATTTCCGGTCGAACTCAAGAAATTAAAGTTGAAGATTGCCTATTTCAGAGCATTGACGTAATACGTGGAGTACCACAAGGAGCCATTCTTATGGCACTTCTTTTTGTGGTTTTCATCAATGACCTGACAACACTACGCATGTCAACACTGTCCGACTACGCATCGCATTTACTTTAAGCAGATGACGCTAAATTCATCATAGCAAATAAACATGCCCAGAAAACCCAGCAAGAACTTGGTAAGCTACACGAACGGTCAACTTAATTATCTCCATTGTGCAACAAATTGATATTGGTGACGAGCAACCAAATCTCGCGTTCTCACCAAATCTCGCGTTCAACTTAACTGGAACTCCCATATAGAATTTCATATTGCAACGCAAACTCCACTTTCTATTCGATGAGAAGAAACTCTCCATATCTGTCCAGTTTTTCCAAACTTAACCTCTACAGAAGCGTGGTGCTGCCAGTGTTGACCTATGTATCACCAGTCATCGCCTTAAAGATTACGGCAAAGCGACCTCTCGAATCTTTCTAAAAAAAAGGTTTTGCACATGGCTTATAACCACAAGCGTTGACAAAGAAGTGGAAAAACCCCAAACATCCTGCCTATGCCATTATTTCTATGAATAGTCGACCTTTTGCTTCTACCAAATCAGAGAAGTCGATATAATAAAAACCGACTGGGCTCAAAAACAGACAACTTGAACTCCTCTGGAATCGCTTCAAGTCAAACTACTCGGAGGACAATACATGTGCATGAAAAATGTTCTGCGATTGAACGATGTGCAGAATAATAAAGAACTGAACAGACTGTTAACGAAATTATTATACAATTGTTGGGGGGAAACCCCATGCGGTTGTTCAGCTAATCCCACATTAAAATTAATAGACTATATTATTTAATTGAAGAAACCGTTTTTAGCCAAGTCTAATCCATACGCTATCTCTGAATGTTTTAGCGTAAGTCTATATTTAAATGGCTCTGCTGTGTATTTAGGTTTTAGCGCAAGTGGTAACAAGCTAACGTTGAAGTATCTAGTCATAGAATGTTATGTATCAGCTATTAGAATGTTATTCATCACGGCAAAGAGGCTCAAAGAGTTCAGTGCTCGCAGACTGTTCGAAGGATACCTCAAACATCGAAAATGCCGTCGATGATACGCTCGGCAGGCTTGCTGCCCACAACCCCATTGATTCGGCCAATTAAAAAGGGGTAATGGTAGAGACCAGCAGGGAGCTAAAGTCGAGCTGGAGATCTCTCGAAAAAAGGTGACCCGGAAACTGGAATCTAAGCGATGCCGCAAGGTAGCCAGCGACGACGAGGACAGGTCAACGGCTAAGCGGTGTAAAAGGTAAGCCATTGTTAAGAGTGCGTTTTTTAAAGATATATTTGTGCCATCATCAATGTGTGAGTATCAATCAATACTGCTTTATTATGTTTTGTTCCTTCATCGATCTTCATCAGTATTGGTCTTTTTATTTTTTTTTGTGAAAATTTCAAAAAATTTTGAAAACCATTTTAAAATCTGCTAACCAAAAGCCTGCAACGTGATTGCTGGAAACCATTATACACAAGCCATATGAAGACAGCCTTAGAATAATTTAGGGACTCAATTGGCAGATAATTTTTTACGATGATCTAAGATACTTTTAAGCCATGTTAACTTATTGTCTAACAATTATTTGAACATTGGAGTTTTTGCCATCATTCGCACAGCGGTGAAGATTCGCTTGCAGACACAAGCGAGGAAATGCAAAAAAGAGCTCTAGACAGGCATAACGAAGTTAAATAAGGAAAAGATTAAAAAATACACCATAAGAAGAAAAGTAGTGTTAACTTATTGTCTAACAATTATTTGAACATTGGAGTTTTTGCCATCATTCGCACAGCGGTGAAGATTCGCTTGCAGACACAAGCGAGGAAATGCAAAAAAGAGCTCTAGACAGGCATAACGAAGTTAAATAAGGAAAAGATTAAAAAATACACCATAAGAAGAAAAGTAGTGAGATCAAGAGTATCACGTTCTCACATCTGCTCCACGACCGCTTGTAATTTTACTAACAATAACCACCAATAAATCAGCTGCAGTTTCTATCAAATCGTCAATGCTATGAAGCCAAAATTCGACCAAAAAAATGAAACAATTTCAATGTTCCGGATTTGAATCTCCGAATCTATGTTGATTAGGAGTCTCACGTCCTCGCATTGGCACCACGGTCAGTTGGAAGCTAACTAGAGCCCCAGCTAATGCTGTATCCCATTTTTTTTCGCATTTTTAGCACAGGCAAAGCGGAGCTTTGCACCACTTGCGATACAACACTAACATTAAAAAAAAACATAAAAAGCAAAAAGGACAATTTTTGAAAAAAAAACTAGGTCATATAAACTTTCACATGTGTCGATAAAAGTTCATTCCAGGCAAACATGCTCAACACGTGAATTTTAAATCAGCAAAAACGGAACAAAATTTACGAAAAAAAAACAAAGTCGACAATCTTTGAGGAGACACCAACTGAACCGAAGAAAGACTTAATGATTTTTTTTGAAATCTTTTAAGTCCCCCTGAAATTAGAAAGAACAACACTTGCACTTACAACTACAATGAAAATTGTCTGCAGCACAAGCAAAATCCTTTTGGCAAGTTAGCCGACAAGACATGAGCGAACAAACGAAAAACCAACAATTCATTTTTCTCGGAATTTTTTTTTTCAATTTCCTTGATACTGAAAAAAAACAAGGTCCAGCCACCACTCCAACCTCAGAACTTAGGGTACAAAGGCAAATGCTTTAGCTCCAGGCAAAGGGAAGCAACCTGGAAAATTTTAAAAGAAAACATGAAAAGTCAACAAGTGATTCAAATGATTTTGTGTAACTAGTTGTTAACTAGAAAAAGTATACATTCCAGTTTGATAACGCTTGCTAATCACAAATTTAATCATATGTTGCACTGATACGGAAATGTGTAACTTCCAAAAAATGGACTTTACGCAAAACCCTAGTGATTTCCCTGCTTAAGTAGGGGATTAGCCGCTTATTTAGAAGAAAGGACTACTCACTCTTTCAATTGAAGTCAGTATCTCAAACTTGGCAGAGTATTTTTAGGAAAAATTCGTCCATTCCACTCCACACTCTGATTGTTCGATTGAACCCTTGATATCAGATTCAATTTTTAAAAGTTTTGAAAATCGGTGCAGCAGTTTTTGAGAAAAATTGAACTTTCTGAGAAAATTGCGTTGCAAAAAAAGACAACAAACCCCATTCATTTCATGATATCTATTTTTTTTCAAACAGAACCTAAGACTAGCCAAAATAAAGCAGCGACAAATGCTTTTAAAATGCTTATGCTTAAACAGGCTACAATATGATTGAACTGAAATCTACCAAAAGCACCACCAAATGAGCACTTTTATTTGCGACTTAAATTGAAAAAATTCTTCGTTATAATACACTACGCTGCGCGTGTGTAATTATAATTTTAATTAAACATTGCAGGTCCCTGAGGAAATGACATGCTGTGGCTTTCAAACGAGACCAGCCACCAAGAGTTTCAACGGAGAGGAGACGAAAAGTTGGGAGCAAATGTCAAAAAGAAATATTTTCTGCTAAAATGAACATTATAATTTGACTTTTTAAAAATAGGTTACCTGAAATCGAGATCTGAATATGATAAATCATCTACTTTTACTTGAACTGTGTGATTCAAAATTTGAGGCGTGTTTCTCAAGTTGGTGGACCCATGACAAAATTTAAGTGAGAAATCAAACTCGTCAGCTGTATATTCAAGATCTCTTGGGTTGACGCTGTATACGAAGGCAAATATAGATCCAATTCCAATAACTAGAATTGGAAATATATAAGTTGCAACAATTCTTCTGAGATGATTGAGCAGATGAAACCAGAGCAAGGTCCGAATGTGTTGGAAGCTGAAATCTTTCATTCCCCTTTACAGTTCATCTAAAATAGGACGAAAAGAACACTATCAATTTTGTTGCATATAACAGCAGCCACATCAATGGAGTGAAAAGTATGAAATAAGTTTAAAGTAGCTACTACTACTACTACTAAATAAGTTAAAAGTAAATCAGAGGGCCAGAAATTATCATGTTAAGCAAAGTTAGAACACTAGTGCTTTATCTATTCACCTCCGTCAAAAAAGCTTAGAATTACATAAATTAGGGCACAGTACGCGAAAGTTTTCTTCTTTTTATAAAAAAAAATGATCAGAAGGTCAAAAGTATCATAGTAGCCGAGGTTACAAAGAGGAGTCCCTTCATCGCAAATTCCAGTCAAAATCCTAGGTAGTTTCTAGATATGAAATTGAAAATGATAAGAAGTAGATGATTAGAGTTGAAGTAACTAAAATTAAACTCGATACTGAATACGTTTCATCAATAAGAACTCGTATCTCGACACATAAGAAAACTGTATTGACAGCGTTCGCAATCTGTATTGCCAGGTATTGTTTAAAAAAGCTACCCACCCATGTTTCCCCCCATTATATTCTTAGGTTCTTACAAAGCTTGCTAAAAAAAATTGTGCTGGGGCCGGCCGCTCCTGAGTCTCAAAAGCTATCCATCATCCACGACAAAGTTTTCCGATTGTCCCAAAATAATCAGAAGGTCGAAAATATCAAAGTAACCGAGTTTAGAGTCAGGAGTCCCTTCCTCACATTATCCAGCCAAAATCCAAAGGACAAGTAGAGTTTTATGTGGATAAAATAAAGAGTCAGATGGTTGGGAATCAAGCCAACCAGATTGAGAGAACTAACCCCTGCACAGAACAAACTGGAGATGAAAATGACTCAAAAACACTCACCTGATAAGCGGCTACGGGTCTGTCATATAATTATATAAGGCTGCGCTTTTGTTCCCTTGTCTCTATAAATAAAAAATTTCTGTAACAGTCGCCTACTTAAGTCACATATGAGGTTAAAGAAAAATAGGCCCTATAACCATTGGCTCAAGAGTCAGGGACACTATCTTTTGTGTTTTTCTACCTCAAACGGTCAGAGCCAGTTCGGTTACACTATCTTTTGTGTTTTTCTACCTCAAACGGTCAGAGCCAGTTCGGTTCACTTGCGACATGAGACTAAAATCTTTGTTACAGCTTAAGGGCCACTACCGAAATACCCCCCACTTTAGAAAACAAGAACGTCCCCATACTTAGGTCTCAAAATACCCAAAACACGCGAACGCCGTTAAAAACAGGGTAGGAACAATCCGTATAGCTACTTTTTATCAGACAGTGGAACTTTGATCCATTTCAGATGGATCGACCTAAAACTCTCCTTATCGCAACATAACAATATAAAACACACTCAAGAAAATTAAATTGGGTACCCACATACCGGCACACTCTAGAATTGCAGTAACTAAATTAACCAGTAACTCTAGCATAAATGGGTAATCAAGTTTAACTCGAGACGTTTTGAATAAGTCAGTTTTAACTCAAGAAACAAGTTTTGGTTCAGGACCATTGGGAGACTTCCCTTGTCCACTTTTCCACCGAAGGTTCACTCTAGTCCACTTCTAATCTATCTCTTCTTTTTCGCGATCGCTCTGCTTTCTATTTCGAACAAGACAGCTCTACTCTCGTGTAATCTTATATCTGGAAATTGCGAAAAGCAATTTACCGCTGCTTTTTCAATTACTTTCCCGCGATTGTAATTCGGCTCTTCTGATGTTATCTTTTGATATTTTCAGTTGTCGCGAGAAACTTGAGCATGACAGGCTCAATTCGAAATTTTGAAAAATTCCATTTCACCTCAAAATCAAATTTCTTGCGTTGATCAAGGTCAAATTTCCAAATATGACCGACTGACTAAAAGTCTTTTGACTGATGGCCTGAAAGTATTAACTTTTTACTTTGCTCTAGACAGACCAGAAAATTGACTGGCTAGATCGAGACGGTGAAAAACGAGTAGAATTTAGGCAACTGACGCCAGCCAGTCGTTAATAGGTACTTTTTCTACGCTCCGTCACTGTGTAGTATTTGGGCGGATGTTACTATCCTTGTGGTGAGATGTCGCACAGTCTGGCCGACATAGATGGATTTGAACCCACAACATTCAAGTCGGTACACCACTTTTGATTTCAGTTCACTGGAAAAGAAGGATTTTAGAGAGGGCATACAAGTTTTCATTTTCCTCGTCGTGATTATTATCTGCGCATCGGTGATATCGCGCACTTTTTTTTTACTAATGTCTGTCTGTGATTCTCCCTATATTGGACCATCAAGATGGGTGGTGAAACACTGCTATAATCACAGGGCTTCTTTTTCTCGGCCATGTTATTTTTGTTTTAGCCCTCCCTGAGGATCTTTTCAAGGGCATGAGATGCAACACGCGACGACCAATTTTCCGGATATTGGTTATCCAACCACTGCTCACGGTTGATTTTCATTGCTTTATCATATTCTTCCCATGTTGACGTACTGCAAAAACCTGGTGAACAGTTCCTTCGATCACACTTTTTTTGTACTGAAGGGGGGCGCAGCTTCTAAAATTTAGTATGGTACCTGTATCTGTTGGTTTTTGATACCAACCACAGTTAATTTTCCTGATTTTGTCAATACTAATTTGTAAATCAAAAAATGCCAATTTTCCGTTTGTGTTTGGTGTCCTTATTGTGAACTGTAAATTTGGATGTTGTAATTTTGCAGCCCGTAGCATTTTTTCAAAATCACCCTTCACTGTTCTCACTATATTGTCAACGTAACGGAGAAATAACTTAGCTTGCTGCACCGACTTATATTTCTCTCTTATCGCGATGCATTTTCTACAGTACCAGACGGTTTCACTTATATTTCGATACTCATCATCTGATATATCACCGCATTTAACGTGATAACAGATCAAACAGCAATCCAATTCTACGCTTTTTGACCCGTACATGACTTTCTTATTGCACTCGGGACATGTTCCGTTAAGATCTTTCTCGGGCAAAAACATTTCGGTAACATCCCTCTATAGAGCAGGTTTGTACTGCTTCAGCCAAAGTTTTGCTAAAATAACGGCAAGAGATGCCCCTATTGCCAAACTATCTTTCTGAACGTACCATGTTTCATCGCACTTGAAATGGACTTGACTAATTTTCATGTTCAACGGTCTCTTCATGGTTTTCCTAGCAATTGATGGTGGTTCATCTTGCTCATACAGTTTTCTCAGAGCTACGTCTTTTGCTTTTTTCAGTGGAACATATGTATACAAACTCTTCACATGTAGAGATATCAAGTTTTCATTGGGCTCAAGATTAGTGCTCTCTAAGATTTCTCTCGCATCTAGTGAGTTGGTTTCAATGTTTGCGACCTCAATTTTCTCAAAAATTTTTGCAAGAACCTTGTTCAAGTTATAATAAGAGCTACCAGGCAAGAAGCGGACCGGCCTTAATGGGGTATTCACTTTATGCACTTTCGCCAACCCATACAGCCTGGCGGGCTGCCCCCCAGTAGACCTCATCCTTGTGTAGAGATTCTCACTGATTTCATCTTTTTTCCTCTTAGCCAACAACTCCTTATTGATGTATCTTTCAAAACAATCGCATCACTTGTTCCTTTGCTTTTGCTGAATTGATTTGAGTCTAATGTATCCGACGACTTGCTCTCGTAGGTGTCCTTCCTCATTACACAAAAACCCACGCCTTTGTCATACGGTACCGCAACTAATCCATTACTCTTCAGATACTTTCGGGCTTTCTCAACGCCTTTGTCAGATAGTGTTTGTTTCACCCTTTTAGCATAGGCTTTTGCCACAGCTTCGATCTCACAACGGGCCTCCCCGGGGACTTTACTGTTTTTGAGATGCGATAGAAAGATGTCAATTTCGGCGAGAAATTGTGTCTCATTAAATTTATCCCTGACGGGATGTTTCGGCCCTAATGACAACACTTGTTGTACCCAATTTGGTAATTCAACATCATCAAGAGCTTTTACCGAACCCTCACCTTGCTTCCCTAGAGGTCGGTCTTGCCTTTCTGATAGTTTCATTAGCTTCTTCTGATGGGTCTCCTTGACTGTTGTTGTTTATCTTTGTCCCCTAAGACTTAAGTATTTAATTACCGAAGGCCAAAACTTCTCATCTACACCCCTCTGTACTGCGCCTCTCGCCCTTTTCAGATTGACTTCAACGTTTTTCTCATCTGTCATTTCCTTGTTTATCTCCATTCTTAGAAAATTTGTCTGAAAACTGTGTACCGCTTGTTCGAAAACACCCCATTTTCCGGTACCCTGAACCTCAAATATTCAGATGCAATGACGTTTTCTGGACAAACTCTCGAAAACTTAACACGTTGGTGACAGTTGATAAATTTAACATATATGGACGCATAATCACTGACTAATTAGCAATTGAGTTTGTTTTTAAAAGTCCAATTCAAGATTGGATGTGGGAGTACAACTGTGCTCATTGGTTTGCAGGCCACGTGAACCAAAGCAACATAGATAACACAATTTTAACTCACCCTCTCCGTTGAGGCCTCCTCGTCAGTCGGACCAACAGTTTCCTCGTCTCTGTTCACGAGTCTTCTTTTCTCTACCCTCCTTCTCGATTGAGATTTCTTTTTCGTCTTTGAACGAAGCTTGGACAAAACAGCTGGCAGGTTGTCTTGGTGTTCGAACACAATCCGCAAAGACTTTAGCTCCAGCTGGACGTCCTGGTGCAGTGCCTGATATTCGTTGACTAGCTCCGTTCTTCTCTACCTCTTTGAAATGAGAAACTTCGTAAAAGGAATGACAAGAATACCCGAGCTGATCAGCTGGTTCCTGATATCTGGTGTACCGTTACTCTGATAGTATACAATGGCGCTGATGTTTGTCAGAGTCTTCAGGATTTCTGTCAATTTCTCTGCAGTGCAAGCTCTGTAATTGTATGTGCGGTGGCTGTTGATAGAATTTTTGATGATGTCGTGCCACACCACCATTTGACGTTTTTCTGCTAGAAGTGCCTGCAGAGTAGA